AATAAATAAATAATAAATAAATAAATAAATAAATAAATAAAAAAGAGAGTAGCTGGGTGTGGTGGCACACGCCTTTAATTCCAGCACTCAGGAGGCAAAGGCAAGCAAATCTCCGTGATTTCAAAGTGAACCCAGTGTACAGAGTGAATTCTAAGGCAGCCAAAGTAACACAGAGAAACCCTGTCTCAATAAATGAAAAATTAGGAGTAAAAAAAATAGAATAATAAAAAAAAAGTCATGTAAAAAATGGAAAAATACAGAGTCTAGATACTGTATGCTACTGTGTTGTCTTTAAATTGTTCAATTGCTAAGGAAGGAACAACTACTAGAATACACTTGATTATCAATCCTGCTAAATTAATTCAATTTATATATTTTAAAAGTGCTTTGATTTCAAAATTTAAGTCTAAGGACAGATTACTGGGGAAAAGTTTTCTATTTTTGTTTCTACAGAAAATGAAAAGCTGTGGATTCCTTCCAGACTAATGTGGTTTGATCAAGCAAGACCCCCTGAAACAGTGTCCCAGATGATCCAACATTCAAAACAGATGGGACAAGGCAGCCTTGCAGACTACAGCCAAGATTTCTGTGTCTTCTTAGGATCCCCATGACAGCGCCCCCTACCAGCAGGAAGCAGTTTGGAAAGAACAACTCCCAAAGTCCCAAATGTTATCTACAAATGTTTGTTTTCATTTAAATGGGCTTGGTTATAAATGGTTAATGATCACAACCAATCTCTTTTTTAAAGGTAAAAAGGGGATTATGATATAAAAATGAATACTTTATTTTGGAATGGATTTTCATTGATACAAATTTAAGATCAATTTTGCGATAAGTATATTTCTCCTCTTATTTATGTATTGTGTTTATATAGCTCATTTAAAATATAATGTATCATTAGCTACAGATTGTAGATAGTTACCTATGATAGTCAAAGCTTATTGTTAGATTGGTTAGGTTTTCTAGCTATATAGAGATATATTTCAAATGGATAGGCATTCGTAAAACCTTTCAAAGAACTACAGAATATGGCACTTAAAATGGTTTAGGGTTTTTCTTAACAGTGAGACATAACTGCTCCTGGCAACACCACCTGCGTCAGAAAGGAAGATGGACATTGAAGAAACACGTTATGGAGTTTGCCTCCAATATGGCAAGACACTGCTCCATTTGGACAAGATACTGCTCTTGTCTAGACTGTTTGACTTTATGCTGTATTAATTGGACATGTAGGACCCACAGAAAAGTGAATGCTGATTCAAGATGGACATTGCTACAGGGTTCCTGCTTCATGGAAGTGTCTGCCAGACATTCTGCAGGACACAGAGAAAAGAAACTGACAAGCTGCCAAAACAGGTGGACAGTTTAAAATTTCCTGCTTTGCTGAGGAGTCTGCCAGACACACTATGGCCTATGGGCTGAAGATGGAACATTACAGAAGAACTTCTGGTAACTGACCAGGCAGGCAATGTCTCTGTCATTTCTAGAGTCTATATATTATGCCTCTCTTGTCTTTGATGGAGTTGAAGACAGGTAGTTATGGTTATAGTTTTCCTTAGTTAGGATTAAAGACAAGTTACATATAGGATTTTAGACTCACATAGATAGGATAGATGATGGAATATTTTCTTTGAATCTTTCTAAATGTTAATAGACTAAATATTGTTATCTATAGTTCTTATTTGATAACTGTTTTGTTATATATAATTTTACTATATTAAAGTTATTTTAGACAGAAAAGAAGAGATTATGGGTGATGGGAGATGTCATTCTGTAAGTATGTTTCTCTTATTGGTTAATGAATAAAGCACTGTTGGCCAATTGGAAAGCAAGATAGGTGGGACTAGGAGACAAGGAGGATTCTGGGAGATGTAGTAGAGTAGAGTCAAGATGTAGGGACTTGAGAGAAGAAGGTCCGGATCCTCTCTCCAGTAAGATAAAACCACGAGGAAATACTTAGATTGATAGAAATGGGCTAATATTTAAGATAGAGCTAGCCAATAAAAAACGCTAGTAACTTTATATGTAATACAGCGTCTCTGTGTGTTATTTGGGGCTGGCACTGCTCACAACACCAATCCTTCTTGTCTTCCTGGGTACTGTACGCACATGGTGCACTTACAGGCATGCAGGCAAGCACCCATCCACATACATGTGCATACATGCAAGCACCCATCCACATACAATTAAAATAATAAATATTTTTTAAAAGAAATATGTCTCATTCAGAACTTGATACAGGAATTCAGTTAGGTGCCTCATGAAACACCTTCCCTCTTTTTAGCCTTCTATTCTTCCTCCCAATTTAAAAAAAAAAAAAAAAAACCCTTCAAAACTTTTTCTGACAAATGACTGGAGTTTTCCAACGGTATGGCTAGTATAGAAGCATAAAGGCAAAAGATGAGAGAGTGGCCTAGGCATGGGGGGTGGCTTAGTTGGTAAAGCACTTGGGCCTGAGTTTGACCCCCAGCACCTCTGTGAAAAGCCAGACATGACAGCACACTTGTAAACCGAGCTCGTGGTGGGGCTTAGGGACAGAGGTGGGTGGACCCTGGAAGCTTTCTGTCTGTCCAGCTAGCTAGGTGAACATATTACTTAGAGTGAGGGCTATCCCTGGGCGCTGCAGGGTTGCATAATGAGCATTTTCAAGTCCACAGGGAAGTTGAAAGGTGGACAGCATATACCCACAGGCCACCTGTGTACACTCCAAGGCCACCAGGCCACCTCACCTGCTCTGGCCCCTTCTGGCTGTAGCCTCTGACTACTGATTCCCTCTGGGCTCCAGATGCACAGTTGCTACCCAGGAATGTCTCCATCTTCTCTTGGTGATCATTGTGTATCCAGGCTCAGATTTACAGAGCCACACCACTGTTAGGGAAGGCAGACTTTCCTTAATGTTCCTGTGGATTTTTATTTTGCTTTGTTTGTCAATCATTGGACTGGGGAGACAGAGCAGTCAATATAATGCTTACCACACAAGGACAAGGACTTGGGTTTGTGCCCATGAACCCATATAAATGCCCGTGCATGGGCCAGTGGGAGATAGCTCAGTGGGTGAAGGCATTTTCTGTCAAGCCCAATGACCTGAACTTTATCCTTGAGAACTAGATAGTAGAGAGAACTAACTCTCACAGGTTGTTGTCTGGCCTCCACATGTGCACTGTGGGCACGTGCGTACCTATAACACAGGAACACATACATAAGTAAATAAATAACTTAAAAATTTCACAGGAACACATACATAAGTAAATAAATAACTTAAAAATTTCACAGGAACACATACATAAGTAAATAAATAACTTAAAAATTTTCACATGAACACATATATAAGTAAATAAATAAATAACTTGAAAATTTTAAGCCAGGCATCCTCGTGCTGGGAATTGGAGGCAGAAGTAACCCTGGGGCTTGCTGGTGAGCCAGCCTAGGATAATCCATGTACTCAAGGCCAATGAGAAACACTGTCTCCAAAAATATTGTAAGTAGCACATGGCACAACACACCTTTAATCCCAGCAATCTGTAGACAGAGGCAGGTGGGCCTCGGTGAGTTCAAGACAAGCCTGGGTCTACACAATGAGTTCCAGGGTAGCAAAACCCTAAGATAAATGGGTCGTTATGTTGACGTCAACCTTGATTGGGGTAAAATCTCTGTCCTCCCTCTGAGTAGGCTGGACTCCTGTGTCTCTGGCCTGTGTTTTACCTTCCATCCCAGCATGAAGGAAGGATGGAAAGTTGTGATTTCTCCCTGGGACATTTCTCCCTGCTCTCTGGGTTCCAGGCCCTTTTCCCTCAGAAGCTGTAGATGAGCGGGGAATAAAGGTTCTTCCAGTCTCTGAGGCCTCGTCTCAGTGGAGAAAGGGCTACATGCCACAACAGACCCCCTCCCTGTCTAAGGTCATGCATGGCCACCTTAGCCAACAGGAGCCCCATGGGAGGGAAGGCTCAGCTCCAGCCATGGCAGCTCTCAGGGTGTTTACTCATCAACACAAGCTGAAAGACAAAAAAAAGTAAAGTTAATGAAGGACTAACCTGAAAACCAATATCTGTTCCTTGGAATTTGCTAACTTCCTCTCACAAGGCCCTGAGATAAGAAGACTCACCTGTGAGTCAGCAGGTGGTGAATAGGGTCCTTATGAAACAAAGAGATAGCTGCAACTCGGGTTTGCCCAGACAAGATTAATTAGCACACCCTGAGTGAGGCCCTAAGGTCTGTTGACCCTAACAGGGAGACCATCCGGCCTCCAAGGGTCACGTACTCAATGGACAGAGGGTCCCACCCCCTCCCTAAGCTTGTGGGTTTGCCTTTAAAAACACCTGGGCCCAGGGGAGGGGGCTTCTCTCTAGCCTGCGTGCTGAGAGAGCCATTTGCAAAAATGTTTCCTGTTCATTAAAGCCTCTTGCATGTTGCAGCGACTGGACTGGACATTGAGTTCTTGGGGGTACCGACCAAACCTGGAAGACTCCTCATTCTGAGGGTCTTACAAAGCCATAACCCATAACCATGTTGACAACAGGCATGTGTCAATAGCGAATCCCAGATGTTCCCGCCTGGCTCTTGCATAAGCAAAGCGCATCCAGGCCTCTCTTCCAGGGCCCAGGGAGGGGCCCTGAAATTAAGTATCAAACAGCGATACCTCTTCCTTCGCTCCTGCAGTGGGTAGACTAGGCTGAGAAGCAGGTGGGGGCCTGGCAGGGTCAGCGCTGAAGTCCTAAGATATTCAGCCCCCACTGTTGTGACTCCCACGATGGGATATGTGATACATTGTACATTTAATGATTTTTATTTTTATTTTTGGTTTTGGTTTTTCAAGACAGGGTTTCTCTGTATTGTTTTGGAGCCTGTCTTGGAGCCTGTCTTGGAGCCAGGCTGGCCTAGAACTCACAGAGATCCACCTGCCTCTGCCTCCTGAGTGCTGGGATTAAAGGCGTGCGCCACCAACACCCAACTGATTCTTTATTCTTAAGAGTCCTTGTCTCCTGAGCAAATTAAGACCGAAAATGACTACGTTCAAGCCACCTTGTTCAACAGCCCTAAAGGTAAACTCAGTGAGTGACACTCTGAGGTGGGTTTGCATGGAATATTTGAGGCAGAACAATTCCTCTGGGAAGAAGCATTGGTTGTTGTCATTAAATAAAACGTTGAACATCTAAGGAGAGCTGTGCTCCCTTGAGCACCTGAAGCGAGTATGTTGTGTTAAGATGTCCAACAGTGGCTCTCACCTAACTGTTCTTCCTTCCAGAGGAGCTTCTTCCTGTTTGTCAGCTTCCGGGGAGCTGTGAGCTGCCACCAAGTGGCCCCTAAGCTACTACGGTGCTTCCAAGGTGGGTAAGATGCACTGGCTGGTTGTCACTGGAACTACTTCTGTTAGTTCCCATCAGGGTGCAGCTGGTGTGGCGGGAGCCAGACATGGCCCACCTCCTAAAGGAGAAGAGCTGTCTAAGGCCCAAGTGGCATTGGGCCCGGATATATTTAAATGTTTAAGGGCATTGAAACTTTGGTCTCTCCTAATTGATTAAAATGCCATTTTTTCCCCCAACTCAGAACAAGTGTAAAGTAGAGCCATTCCCAGCACCCTTGGATCCCTTCCCACTGTGACCTGTAACCCAGCCTCATTCTCCTATGGGGCTGGGCACTGCATTTGCCCAGGCATGGCTCATGTGACTTGACAAACTCCAAAGTAGTGGCTCTGCTCAGAGGTCTCACAGGCTCTGAAATGAGCACAAACTAAACTCAACCATTGTTACCCGCTATCTCTCTAAGCATAGGAACACTAGCAGCCCACTGTAACACACATACACACACACACACACACACACAAAATAAAAGACCCAGAGACAGATATTGGGGTTCAAGCTTCAAATTGAAAATCAGAGGAGCAAAGCAGCCAAGCCAGTAGATCTTACCTCTACCCAGCTGAAAGGGTCATCCTGTCTCCATGAGTCCCCAGGGGCAAAAGCTCTGAATTACTCTCTCCTCCTCCTTATATTCCTTTCTCCACTATATCTTTCCTGTCTCCACCTCCCTAGTGCTGGGATTAAAGGCCTGTGATCCCAAGTGCTGAGGTCACCCTTACGTGAGCTGTTTCTTTTAGGACTGGATCAAGCTTGTGTAGCTCAATGTGGCCTTGAACTAACAGAGATCCATCTACTTCTTAATCCTGAGTCCTGGGATTAAAGGTGCATGCCCCACCACCTTCTGTGGCTAACTTGTTTGGCTGCTTTCCTATTCTGATCTCTAGTGGCTTGAATACATCATAAACAATGTATCACCACATCCCACTCTCTCTCTCTCTCTCTCTCTCTCTCTCTCTCTCTCTCTCTCTCTCTCTCTCTCTCTCTCTCTCTGTGTGTGTGTGTGTGTGTGTGCACATGGGTGTGTGTATAGTTCTATAATTTCTTGGGGTCATTTTTCCAGTTCTGAGTGATTATAAGAACTGTTAATCCCCCCTGCTATAGAGGGATTATTGGACTTCTATTTAGAAACTAAAAACCAGCCAAGAAACAGGAAAACCAACCCTGTTTTCCTTTCGGCATGGGCTGTGTCTTTCCTCTAGCTGAGCTATAATCCCTAAGGTTGGATACCCAGCCAGGTTTCTGTGTACACACAGGACTGGTGTTTGGTATCTGAGCACTTGCTTCGCTAGACTCTGCTGGGCACAGATGAGGTCACCCCTTACCCATCAGCCCACCTGCTCACACAAATGCAAGCAGGGAAAAGGACAGAAGACTCGGCTGGGGTGAAGTGCCAGGGCCCAAGTACTCAAAAATAACTAGAAGAAATGTCACTGGCTGGGAAACAGGTACCTGGCTCCCGGTGAGACCACCAGATCCCAAGAACTGCCCAGTGCCCACCCAGACATGGACATAAGAGGCTGTACCTGGCTGCTGCTGCTGCTGCTGCTGCTGCAGGTGAGCTGGGTGGGGGCCGGGAACTGTGCTTTGCATAGATGGGTTTTCATATTCTAGACTAAAGGAACTTGGCAGGATAATAACCAACTGAAGTGGAAGAGAAGCAGCATTCTGCTGAAGTGGGGTACTGTCCATCGTTAGGGTAATATAGAAACACGGGGCTCCAGAATTTAGATAAATGTGGGACTGAGAACCACATCTTACAAGAAAGCGAAATACACAGTTTCAGGTTGGTTTGTATTAAAGATAACTGGAGCAAACCAGTAAAGGGCACTAAATAACCCCAGTGTAAACAGAATAAAAAAACAAAACAAAACCAGGGGCCGGCAGCGGGCAGCCAGTGTCCTGGTTCCAGTGACAGCCAGTGTCCTGTGTCCAGTGGCAGCCAGTGTCCTGTGTCCCAGCAACAGCCAGGGTCCTGTGTCCAGTGGCAGCCAGTGTCCTGTGTCCCAGCAACAGCCAGTGTCCTGTGTCCAGTGGCAGCCAGTGTCTTGTGTCCCAGCAACAGCCAGTGTCCTGTGTCCAGCAACAGCCAGTGTCCTGTGTCCCAGCGGCAGCTACTGTCCGGTGTCCCAGTGGGCAGTCATTGTTACATGAGGCTGTTGGGTTTACTTTCTGTTAGTGGAAAGAGAAAATCGTATCTTCCTTTTAAAAAACGGCCGTTTTAAGTTAGCATATGAAGCTATTGGTTTCATCGTGGTATTTTCATGTGCACTCTGTTCATATTCATTCTGGCTTCCCTCCTGTGGTCCCTCCCTCCCTCCCACCTCACAAGCCTTCTTCTCATTTCATGTCACCCATATCCCAGTGCTCCTCCCAAGATTGCTTTACATTCTAATTGAAACACACACACACACACAAACACACACACACACACACGCACCACACAGACACATACATAGAGCAAGACAGACACCACACACACACACACACACACACACACACACACACACACACACAAGCAGACAGACAGAAAGACAAACAGATACCATACACAGAAACAGAGAGACAGACAGACAGAACGAGAGAGAGAGAGAGAGAGAGAGAGAGAGAGAGAGAGAGAGAGAGAGAGAGGAGGCAGCAATCCTTGGGAGTAAACACCTTGGAAATGGTTAATTCTGATGCTTAAATAGCAACAGAGGCCAGCCAGCCACTTCTAGAGGGGTCTGGGCTAAGCTGACTTTGATCCTCAGCTCAGGTCCACCTCATGGGTGGGGTTTGAAATCCCAAAGTGCAGGTTGGTCTAGCAGTGCAGCTGAATGTGAGGACTTGAAATGAAGCCTTGCTATTGTGTTTTCTTTACTTGCCAGTAAAGCTAAAATGTGTGCTCGACTCGGCGGGTGTGGCAGTGAGGAGGGCTCCATGGATGGCTCCTGCATGGCCAGCGGGTGCATTCAACACTCCTTCAGTGCTCCCAACCACAGTCATTCAATCACGAGCTAGACGTCTGCCGGGCCAGACACTTGGGTGGACACTGAATATAGCAGTCAACAGAATGGGAGGGGTCTGGCTTGGCATACCCACACCCTAGCTGAGCCCCATTTTTTAAAGTGAATGGATGCTGTGCCTTATACCAATTGCTTGGAGTTGGAAGAATTACGTCGGTTGTACTTGGCCGTGTCAAGAGCTGAGCTTTTAATAGTGCATTCATCTTACCTATAGTTTTTCACAGAACCCTGTTTTATTACCGTATGCTAGCATGGATTTGATTATATCGCAAATCAAATCCCATCTTCACCCTTCCCTCACACCTGCACCTACCCCCAACTAATCTCTCAAGGAAATGACAATATCCCCTCTCTGTTGTGTTAGCATGGTGCCTGAGTGGTTAGTTCGCCTCCATAGCGAGCGAGGGTGGAGGGAAAGTGGGGCTCCTCCTGCGGATTGAACCTCAGTGTTTGTCTGAAGGACTTTAGCAGACTCTGGGGATTATGATGCCTTAGGAGCAGGGGCTTCTGGGGAGGGCTTAGCAACAACAAAGCAGGGCCTTTGCCCTAGAGAAGTAATACATGTTCAGAAGGTGAAGGACTGGCCTGTGTGTGTTGGGGGGGGGGGTGCGACTCCTGCAAGCCCTCAAGCTTCTTCCTAATCCTGTTTTCCAGTGTCTCTTCATTGACAAGCATGCCTGCCCTCACCCAGTGACTACTCTGACAGTCAGTGCTGTTCTGCTGGGGAGGTGTACATGCACTGGCTTCCCTCTGGGAGCCCACCACCCTGGCCCTGCTGTTCTTTTATGTATTCATTTGTTTAAGATCTGAGAATTTCATACATGTTTTGATCATATTCACACTTCTTCCACTCTCCCCAGATCTGTCTCCACTTCTCTACCCACCCAGATCTGTGTACTTAAGAAAAAAAAGTCCAGAAGAATTGGTGCTGTCCAAGCATTCTTGGGTATGTGGCCTTCCACTTGGGTATGGTCAACTTGCCAGGGGCTACACGCTTATAAGAAATGACTTTCCCTCTGCAGTGGCTAATCTTACCAATAGTTCCTTGACTCTGACATGAAGCCAAATGGCAAAGTCAGAAGTATGTTCTGTATGACCTTGTTCCATATTCAGTGTCGCCCAGCAACCAGCCGTCTTCCTGGTCCCAAGAACCCAAGGAACCTCGGGTTGGGCTGGGCAGGGTTCAAAGGCCATCGATGAGTTTTTCAAACAATGAAACTGGTAGAAGGAGATGCTGGTATTCTGTGGTTGGCGCTGTTTTTGAAATTCTGAAATATGTTGTCTTTAAGCATCATAAAGCTGGAGAAAGATGGCTCAGTCCGTTAAGCACCTTCCCGGGAAGCACGAGGACCCAAGTTCATGTCTGTGTGTTCCTAAGTAAACAGTCAGGCGTGGAGGTTCATGTCTGTGGAGACACAGATCCCTGGGGCTTGCTGGCCGGCCGCCAACTTCGCCTAATGATTGAGCCCGTTCGGATCAATGAGGTAGAAAGCAATTGAGAAAGACATCTGATGTTGACCTCTGTCTTCCACATGGACATACATGTGTACCTACATGAGAGCATACACACACACACACACACACACACACACACACACACACACACGTAACAACAATAATGATAACAACAACAATAATAAAGGCATGCTGACAGCGATGTTGTGGCAACTGAAGTCACCTGAGCTTCACCCAGGAACATGAGAGCTGGGATGCTCGGAGCATGCGCTAGGTTCCGGGTGAACCTGCAGCCAGACCCTGCCCTAGCGCAGCAGCTTCCTAGCGGGACCTCCTGCTACCATATAACAAGAACCCTATTTTCAAATGGTCACTCAGGCTTTAATACAGTGGGGCGTCTTGAACTAAGAGAAACATGTCTTCTTTCTAAAGCTGTGGTGTCTGCAATTGCCCTCACAGCGGGACCAAGGCTCCTCTGGTAGAATCCTTCAGAACCTCTTCTTAGCTTCTCTGTGGCCTGCATCACTCCTGTCTCTGCCCGGGTCATTGCCAGCCTTCTTCCTGGGTGTCTGCTTCCTCTTCCTGTCACTGATCAGGGCACACCAGGAAGTCTTCATAGTTGATGAAACCTCGACTTTCAAGCTCGTGTTCACGGGTACCGGGGACTAGGACTTCTGCATCCATATTTAGGGTGCCATTCAGTTCCCGGCAGAGGGATAAGAAGGGACAGGTGGGGGAGAAGGGATAGGAGTGGTCACTCCAGAGGATGCTCCAGGGTCTCTCACAGAGGTGTGGGGGCCCTCAGTCCTTGAGGTTGGCACGCAGGGCTGGAATGAAGATGGACTTGGCTGTGGGGCTGCGCAGGGGATGGGGTGGGGCATGAACAGGTGACTGTGTTTTGTTGAACTTGAGAGTCCTGAGGAAGGGATACTTTGTGAGAAAAGCTAAAAGGATCAATTTTGGGAAGTGGAATCCAAATTGACTGTGAGGTACTAGAGGAAATAAAAGTCGCCTGGAGACTCTCAAAGGAAAAGGCAAATACTTGGCCCTTCCTGTTCGAAGCTCTTTTGATGTGTGTGTGTGTATGTGTGCACGTATGTGCACACACAAGTGTGCACAGGCCTGCGGCGCATGCCTAGGTGTGCACGTGGATTCGGAGGATAACTTTCAGGAATACGTTGTCGTCTTCTGTCACGTGGGTCCTAGGGATCAAGAGTAGGTCATCAGGCTTGGCATCTTTACCTGCTGAGCCATCTCACTGGCCTCCTTAAACACTTTTAACAACTAAACAGTGAAGAGCTAAAACATTAAAAACATAAAGCTGTATTTACGGGTTACCATATAATTACGCGATTGCTGTGTACATTGCAGGATGGTCGAATCAGGACAGACATCCGTCACCTCCATTGTTATCATTCTTTATGATGAAAGCATTCAATAGCCTTTCTTCTAGTGTCAGAGCGTGAAGGTCCTTGTACCCACAGATCTCCAGGGAACCCAGGAATGATGAGCTCTGTATATGTTTCTCTTATTGGTTGATGAATAGAACACTGTTCAGCCAATGAGACAGGTTGATAGGCGGGGCTAGGAGATGAGGAGAACTTTGGGAAAGGTAGGGAGGAGCCCGCCAGAGTTGTGATGTTGCTGGAGTAGTAACACAATGACAGGCATTACTGGGTAAGCCACAGCCTCGTGGCATTACCTATATTGTTAGAAATGGGTTAATATTTAAGACAGAGCTAGCCAAGAAGAATCCCAAGCTATTGGCCAACAGTTTCATAACTAATATAGCATCCGAGTATTTATCTGGGGCTGAAGGGTGATGGGACCTGCCAGGCCAGAAGGCTCACACTGCACAGAAATGCTAAGCATACAGGATTGTTTTTTCAATAGATAAGATGTAAAACTGTTCTTCCATCCAGAATGCTGAGAATTGGAGGTGATTGACTGCCTGGTGTTCTGCATTGTCTTTTGGGCCAAGAACTCCCCAAACTCCCACAATCAGGGCCAGAGGTGGCTAATAACCCAAATGTCCTCTACACTTCTGTATTACCAAGACCATGCCATATCCTTCCCTGGGACCTTAAGCTATCAGATAGTCTATCTCTAGATCCCATCTTTTTGGAAGAAATGGCATGTACCCTGAGTTGAGTTTAGATGTAATTACACTTCCATGTTCACTGGGGATTGTATTACACAGGAAACTTTTTCTGAATTACATTGTGTTTAGATTTACTATCAATAAACTGCCTGGCATCAAACTCCCTAAAGTTTGAGACAGATTGATGAGGGAGGGAGGGAGAGACTAATTGATTTATTTCAAGCATTTTCCTATTTAGGGTCTTAGTTCTTTGTTCTTTCCTTTCTTTCTTTCCCCCTATTTTATTCTGAGAGGGTTGTTTGGTTTGGTTTGGTTTTTTTTTTCTCAAAGCTGTCATGGCTCTCCTGACCAGGTGGGCCTGAATGACACTGGTAACCTGGCCCAGGTCCATTCCCACCTGTGAAAGGGCACGTGGGGTGGAGGGGCGGAGCTTGCCTGCCTCCAGCTCTGCTAAAACAGCCTGATGTAAACTGCAGCTGGGGAAGCCAGCTTGGGGATATTCCTATCAGCTCAGCCTGGCAGAGAGCATTATGCAAATTGCTGTGAGTGGTGTCCTTTCTGGAGGGGCTGCCTCAATTGCACCGGGTGGAGGATGGAGGTGTAATAGATGCTCTTACAGACTGATTTCAGCAACAGGAACAATTGCCAGTCTTCCTGCATTGTGCAGATGAGCTATTCTGAGGCTGCACAAAGAGGAGAGAAAGCCGTGTGGATTTCAGGCACCACTCTGGCAAAGTGTAAACCTTAACACTCTTTGAAGATCCAGTTGACCTTCCCTGCCTGTTGGCTGGGTCCATGTGTGCTGTTAGGACAGAATAAATCGGCAGAGCTAGAAAGTGGAGCAGACACTTGACTCCTCCATCTTAAACTGAGTGACTTGAGATGGACAGGAGACTTCATACAGTCCGTGCTAATGCCTGGAAGCCTGGAAGAGAAATAAAATCAACTTCTGCACTCATTTGCAAGAATTGTAATTTCTTCTTTAATTTTTTTTTTAAGAATTGTTTTTATGGGTGTTTTGCCTGGATGTTTGTGCATCCCATGTGCCTGGTGCTAATGTAGGTCAGGAGAAGATGTTGGATCCCCTGTAGCTAGAGTTACACATGGTTGTAAGCCAACCATCTGGGTGCTGGGAATTGAAACCAGGTCCTCTGCAAGAGCAGCCATTGCTCATAACTGCCCAGTCACCATCTCTAAAGCCCCTAGGCTGCGTGTTTAAATTTCCCAGTATCAGTCAAGAAACACTCAATATCTGAACATATTTGTTTGTGATTTGGGAAGTCAAAGACTCTTTCTTTAGGGCAAAAGGCACGGTGCACTCACTACCGCCAAGCTCTCTGGGTACACATGAGTACTTGAGTTCCACAGAGTGCATACCTATCATCCCAGAGCTGGGAATCAGAGGCAGGAGGATCCCCGTGTTTCACATACATTACCACACATATGCACATGTGATGCACAAAACAACTCTTTCCCTTTAGGTAAATAGAAGTACAGTCTATGGCAGGTAACATGCCATTGTTATCTTTGACATGAACAAAAAGACCGAAAATGGACACGTGTAGAATTCGTCCTCATTTCCTGGGAAAACCCAAAGCCCATTGTGTCACCAGGTAATCCCGAATTAAGATAGGTCCTATGTGTCCTAGGTGGCCACAGGCGGTGACCTGGTAGAACCTGGGTCCACCGACTGCGACACTGGTGATTTAGGTTCAAATCCTGGAAACTCTGAATGCATGAGTTATATATTTACTGAACATGTTAGAAATGAAAACTGACAAGTCTTAGCCGTGTTTAATCCACTAAAGAGAACAATAACCCGTCACACGCAAATATGAATAACATAGTTTTATTCAAAATAACTGTATTTTTCAGATTCTGCCTAATGATAAGAGTGATGCTGTTTCATACTTTGTCAAGTCGTGTGAGTGTCTGGCTTAGTGGCAGACAGCTGGGCTCTCCTCCTGCATTTGTGTTTAATCGGTTGTGAATGCCGATCAGTTGAAGGATGTGTAGAGATTCCCGCCTCCCACATGCTTGCATTTGGGAGGATCTGAATACTTAGAAAAGGGAATTTGGGGTTTTCTCTTTTGAGAAGACACCAAAACTTGCCAGTGTCCCAACCCTTACCTCTCATGTGAAATATGAATATAACGGAATGAACTTTTGTTACTGCCCTATCTTCCCCAGGGAAGGAATAATTCCCATCGAGCCCAGCTCAGTGAGTCTGTGAAATTACTGGAGTCACTCACATGAACAATGTGGATGAGGGATTGTCCACAGGAGCACGGGTGACCCTTGGGCAGCTGTATCACCACTAAGCCCCAACCCAGCATGCGTGACAGGCTGCTAAACCTGTATTACTGCTGTTCCCTGTGGGGCGTGCAGTTGGCTCTGCAGACCTGTCCTCTGCTCTGGCCCCTTCAGCCATATCTGCTTCTACAGCCTCAGGCGAGGTGTATCCTGTGAGTTTTGTGATTGTGTGTATGTGTGCATGTGCATGTTTGTGTGTGCCTTAGTATTTTTCTATTGCAGTGATAAACGGCGGGGCCTGAGTGGAAAGGGCCTTTACACTCTGAGCCGTCTCACTGGCCCGTCAAGATGCCTTATGTGAAAATTTATCAACTGTTAAACGTTTGTCCCATTTGCTTTTGTCATACCTTCACGTGCGCATACTTTCTCTGCTTCTAGCTTATCTAAAGTAAACGCACACTTTACTGCTGGCTTTGGGCTCCATTGCAAGGCTTGTCTTTTTGTGTCTCTGCAGTCTTGTGATGGGGGATGTCCTTCTGTATGTTTTTCACTTACTGGTTGATGAATAAAACACTGTTTGGCCAGTAGAGGCAGAAAGGTAGGCGGGACTAGGAGATGAGGAGAATTCTGGGAAAGGTAGGCAGAAGCCTGCCAGAGATGCTTTGTTGCCAAGGGAGTAACATGCTGGATTATGGGTAAGCCACAGCCTCATGGCAATACATAGACTAACAGATATGGGTTAATAATTCAGAGAGAGCTAGCCAATAAGAAGTCCAGGCCATCAGCCAACAGTTTCATAATTAATATGCCATCCATGTGTGTTCATTTGGGGCTGAAGTAGTGGGACCTTGCAGGACAAGAAAACGCCCCAACAGTCTTGTATATGGATTTTTTGGGGGTGGGTGGGTGGGTAAAACTATTGAAATACAAATCATACACTAGGAATTCCCAGTGAAAATGCCAAAGTCTATTATTTTATTATTTATTATAAGTAAAAGAACAGGATAGGACACAGAGAAGTCTCGTTAAGTCCCACAGCCAGCTGACCCTGGCCAGAGGAGGTTACCCCTGTCTCCTTCAGTGGCAGGACCGAGGGCTGGTTCAAGGTTGAGCATCCCTGCCGTTGCCAATGACACACCAGAGTCCTATGGTTCATTTCCCTGTGGTTAGGGACAAGGTGATCATAAATTGAGACCCAGTGAACAAGACATCATAGCTACTGACATTAAGCACAGGGGCTGGGCTGTAGCTTGGCCATACAGTACTTGTCTAGCATCCAGGAGGGGCCTTTGGCTTCCGCCCCTTGAAACATGAACCAAAACTCCAAATGCAGAGGTTCTTTCCCAGTATCTGTGCTACTCCATGCTGTTGCTATAGGGTATTAAAAAGACACTAATAAGGGCGCTAACTAATTAGCTTCCAGTAAGAAGCTGATGAGAGCTGGAAGTCAGTTCTGATGCAGCAGGCCAGAGCCTGCCCTTTGCCCACAGACAGGTGAGACTGCTGTGTTCAGTGCCATGCTCATGTCTGATTTGCGGAGCGCGGGACTGCAGCTCCAGGTAGACTTAGACCCCCAGGTCCTGTCAGTGAGGGCAGTGAGGTCTTCATGTCTGACTAGCATGTAAAGAGCCAGGGAAGATCAGAAAACAGTCGAGGGTGCAAGTCTGCAGGCTCCCCTGCTTTCTTCTTTCTTGTTTATTAGACTGAATTGTGCCAGCCCTGATCCCTTCAGGCTTTAGGGCGCGCAGACTGAACTTTACCTACCCTTTCATGCTTCCTGAGAACTGTAGTGTTCTTATTTCTATTCATTTACTTTATAGGAAAGTCGTTAAAAAATGTCTTAATTTTATTGCAGATAAAAATGAATGTGAACAAAGTTAATATATGACAGGAATCCATCTTGACAAATAAGTAGATGTTAGCTGTGGAATGGACAGAATGAGGAACACACCATGCAGATAAATCCTGTCCAGATTCCCTTGCCTGGCAAATGCCTGATGCCAGGAGCTAAACCGAACACTATCTGTCAAGTTTCCTTAACTTTCTTGGGGAGATGTGAGCAAGTATCTCCTTAACCAGATAGGGCATCAGTGATGATAGAACCAAGACATGGTTCTACCCAAGACCAGCATGTGAGCCAGTTAGCTCACTGGGCTCATGGACAGGAGTGTAGATGATCCAAAATGGCTACTTCCCTGAGAAGCCCCCTACCCCAGCATGTCTAACAACTTCTCCAGAACAATATGGGTGGGGCCGCCACCTCAGGTAAACGTCTACCCTCTGAAGCAGTGTGCTCAACCTTCCCAACGCTGCAACCCTTTACCAAGTTCCTCATGTTGTCATGACCCCCAACCATAAAACTATTTTGTTACAAATATGTTTTCCCCACCGCCGCAGGGCCCACAGCCATGCCTGCTCCAAATAACACACAGAGATCCTTAATAAACATCCTTATTAAACATCAATACTATATTGTCTCCACTCCATAACTGTAATTTTTGTAATGTTATGAATTGTAAATATTTTTGGAGATAGAAGTTTGCCAAAGGGGTTGTGACTCACAGGTTGGGGACAACTGCCCTAAATGATGCTGTAGCTCCCCCAAAGACTGTGTTCAGCTAGGGCACACTTGAGAGGATGACTGGAAAGAGGGCCTGGAATCTCAGGGGAGCGTGTGAAGACTCTCAGGCCTGGTCTGGTTGAGGGACTCTTCTATGTATCCAGAACTGTTCTTATTGAGATGGTCCTGGCCAGATTTCCCAACGTGTGTGTGTGTGTGTGTGTGTGTGTTTGTGTGTGTGTGTGTTTAGGGTTTTGTTTTGTTTTTTCTGTTTGCTCTTTGGGGGCCTACCACCCAGCTCCCAAATAAATACACACAGAGGCTTATTCTTTCTTATGATTGCCTGGCCTTAGCTTGACTTGTTTCTTGCCAGCTCTCCTTAAATTATCCAGTCTATCTTTTGCCTCTGGGCTTCTGCCTTTCTCCATTTCTGCATGCCTTTGTTTATTTCTTACTCTGTGGCTGGCTGTGTGGCTGGGTGGCTGGCATCTCTTTAGTCTCTCTGCCTGCTGGCCCTGCCTAGCCTTTCTCCTGCTTAGCTATTGGCCGTTCAGCTCTTTATTGGATCAATCAGAGTTAAAGAAATGCAACATAAAAGAATGCAGCACACCCTTGCATCATTAAACAAATATTCCATAGCATAAACAAATGCCACAATGTGTGTGTGTGTGTTTATATCGTGTGGCACTATTCTGGAGTGACAAGAACAATTGTCTACCTACCCCAAATAGGGAAACAATGTCATGCAGCCCAAAGTAATGATACCACCAAAGTCCAATTTGGTGAACCATGAGTTGAGTTTATTGAAGTTATTTCCAAGAGTATGCGTTAGGAGTACTTACAGACAAGAGGACTCAAAGGCAGCTGTCTCACTGAAAGCCCACCCCAGCATGTGTGATGGTTCATGAAAGCTAGAGCCCTGGAGGTCAATGCTGAGCTTATCAGCAGCTCGATTAGTTGAAGGGTCTCCTCTCCTTAGCCCTCCTTACTGCTTATATAACCTTGAAGTTAGGAAGGGACTGCAAATGGAAGTATCTCTGTCCCACCTGGTCTCACAGCCACTTTTAAATAATCACTCAGGAGCTTAATACTAATCATAAACTGGTTGGCCCATAGTTCAGGCTTACTACTAACTAGCTCTTTCATTTAAATTTACCCATTTTTATGAATCTATGTATTGCCACGTGGGTGCTGGCATCTTGTTTCTCGGCTGGCTTGTGTCTTGCCTCAACTCTGCCCTTTTTGCTCCCTGTCTTCAGTCTGGCTTTCCTACCTACCTCTATCCCGCCTTGCTATAGGCCAAATCAGCTTTTATTATCGACCACCAAATCAGCTTTTATTATCGACCATCGAGTGTTGCAGAATATTATTTTAAGGTGTGTTGCTTTTGTTTATGCTGCTAAACATCTGTTTTAATGATGCAAAAATGTGTTGCTTTTGTTTATATTGCATTTGTTTAACTCTGCACAGCTGTGTTATTTTGCCTGTCTAAAACACCTGTTGGTCTAATAAAGAGCTGAACAGCCAATAGCAAGGCAGGAGAAAGGACAGGCAGGGCTGGCAGGCAGAGAGTACAAATAGGAAGAGAAAGCTATAACGAGGAGAGGAGGACTTGGGGGGCCAGCTGCCCAGCCCCCAGGCTGCTCTGATGCCCCCCAGCCACAGAGTAAGAGTGAAGGTAAGATACACACAAGTAAAAAAAGGAAAAATCCCAGAGGTATTCAGGTTAATTTAACTTAAAAGCTGGCAAGAAACAAGCCAAGGTCATGCATCTATAAGAAAGAAAAAGCCTCCCTCTGTGTGTGTGCACGTGTGTATGTGCGTGTGTGTGATTTATTGGGGAGCTGAGTGATGGACAAAAAGCCAAGAAAGAAGAAAGTGTAAAACAAGCAACAACAAATGAGGGCAACATATATTCACAGCACACATAGGGTCAACCCACAGCAAGAAACCCTCTGTGCCCTGTAAGTTTCAAGGATTTCCTGTAACTTACGGGTTGTTTACTTCCTGAATTTAATGAGCTTCCTTCCAGGATGGAATACTTCAATTCAGAGGTGTGTGTGTGTGTGTCTGTCTGTCCCTGTGTGTGCATGTGTGTCTGTGTGTCTATATGTCTATGTGTAGTGTGTGTGTATATAGTCTCTGTGTGTGTATCTATGTGTGTGTGTGTATGTGTCTGTGTAGTGAGTGTGTCTGTGTGTGTCTGTGTGTGTGTGTCTGTGTGTGTGTGTCTATGTGTCTGTGTGTAGTGAGTGTGTCTGTGTGTGTTTCTGTGTGTGTGTGTGTGTGTTTTAAAAGGGAAACTAGTAGACATTAAAGTCCTGTTAGCACCAAGTAACCAAGTAGAAACTTTTTTGTCAATGATTTCAGGAACTGAGAGACTAATGAAGGGAATGACTCTCTTATTATCAGGCTATTTGCTTATTGTTGAAGGCCACACATGCATGCCTGGTAAACAGTGGTCTTTAATGCCATGTCTGCCTAACTCCTAAGGTTATCTCATAAGCCTTGTGAAGTCAGTAGGAATGACAGAAGTTGTAAGAGGACAGACACTTGCAATGACCAAGCTCAGGTGGCTGTTTCGGGTGCAAGAGACAGGACACTCAGGCTGAGTCAGCTCAGTGCCCAGCTATGAAGCTCAGATAGTATGGATCCAGACTGCTGACCCCACTACCATTTTTACTGACATTGCCTTCCTGTGCTCTGTAGGGACAGAGCCACCAGCCTCTACGAAGAGCCAAGAGAAGATGGGTTCTCACCACCCTAGAACTGGAAGAGGAAGACACAGGGCCCTTTCCCAAACTTGTTGGGGAGGTAAGGACATACTCCTACTTCTGTGAACATGTCCCTTCTGGAGGGAGGAGTGGGTCTGGAAAGGATTCCTGCTGGCCTTTATTGATTATCTCTTTAGGGAAGGAACCCAGGATCACACCACTCAGTTTAGAAAGAGCCTGACTCACAGCCAGGCAGTGAAGACAAGGAATCAGGACACTGGTTGGGACTCTGATGCCTGATTGCTGGGACCATCTGTGTTTGTACCTTTGGACTGGTGGCTTCTCCCTGTAACTATAACAATAGTAACTCTAACATGCAGGTCTGATCCAATGGTTCCATGCAGGCATTTATTTTTTATTTCATCCTTGACTGTAAGGAGAGATTATTTAAATACCTTCATTGCTATAGAATATGGTGGTACACACCTATAAAATTTGGTCACTTGGAGTGAGGGCAAGATGGCTCAGTGGATAAAGATGCTTGCTGCCACGCCTGAAAAACTGAGTTTGATCCCCAGACTCAGGTGGAGGAGAGAACTAGTTCCTGTTAGTTATCCTCTCATTTCCACTGGCATGTGTACACATTCACACACACACTCACACATACACACACTCACACTCAAACACACACTCACACTCAAACACACACACTCACACAAACTCTCACACTCACACACTCACACTCAAACACACACACACACTCACACACATACTCACACACACTCACACACATACTCATATATATACACACACCTCACACTCACACATACTCACACACTCTCTCACATACTCATACACACTCACGGATGATGATTATGTAGTAATTTATTTGAAAAAGAGTAAGAGTCAGCCAAGAGCTGCTCATATAGCTTTCTCTTTGTGAAAAGTTAAGTGTGGCCTTTCTTTCTCTTTGTCTCAAGAGAAAGCCATTAACAAGTTGGCATGTGTTCTTCCAGACATGTTGGTGCAGATTTAAGAATGTGACTGTTCATTTATTAAAGGACGAAGAACACAGCTCTTGTGCCCATTCTGACTTGTCTTTCTCATTGAAGGGCGTGGCTGCCAGACTTTTCTGGCAGGCCAAATCCTCAACCTTCTTGAGGGCAGCAGAATGTCCAAAGCAATGGGATGGGTATCCTCCTAATCCCATAAACATCTGTGCAATTTCCAGGCTCTCTAGTCAAGCCCAAAGTGCAGCTCACATCTTCATTTTTTTAAAGACTCTTTTTCATATTAACTGTGTGTGTGTGTGTGTTCTGTGCACCCATGTGAATGTGTTTGTGCGTTCGTGAACATGAGTGTAGGTGTCTGTGGGTTCCAGAGAAACAGCATTTCCCCATAACTGGAGTTACAGGTGGTTGTGAGCCTCCTCAGAGGATGCTGGGAACCAATTCTGGTCTTCTGCAAGGACAGAAAAGTGAGCACTCTTAACTACTAAGCCAACTCTCTGGTCCCAGTTCGTATTTATAGTATTTGTAATGAGTCCTTGTGTAGGTTTGTGCATGAATATAGTTGTCTATAGAAGCCAGAGGTATCAGATGTCCCGGAGCTACAGTCACAGGTAGTTGTAAGCTATATGGGAACTGGAAAGCAAACTCTTGTTTTCTGGAAGAACATGGTGCCCCTCTACAGCCTCCACCCCTCTGCTTCCTTAGCACAACCCCTCAGAAGAATGATGGCTTTTGTAGATTCTAGAAAGACACCTTGATTTTTAAATATAACCATGGTTTATTAGCAGGTTCCTTTAATTGCTTTTTTCTGTTTTCTCCTTTCCAGCTGTTCAATAATATGTCAAATAATGTGTCACTGATGTACTTAATCAGAGGACCTGGTGTGGATGAGTTCCCAGAGATCGGTTTATTCTCTATAGAAGATCACCAGAGTGGAAAAATATATGTTCACCGCTCCGTCGATCGAGAAGTGACACCATCTTTTACGGTATCTAAGATGGGATGTAGTCTAAACTTGTGTTAAGTGCAAAGCTCTTGTAAGACATTGGACTTGATGAGCACTTGTTGGCTAAGTCTTGGGATCTGGGAAATTAGTACATTTTCCATTGTGTCAGGTTTTGGAGGTATGTGGAGCACACCTAACTTTGGAGCCACCGTTAGAGTATAATACAATGGGGATAAGGTGCTACTGACAAGCTTTCAGACTGATGTCCCAACAGAGCTGAGAGACTGGAAGTCATTTGGGGGATGGGGCCACAGAGTGTCTGTAAAATGCTGTGATTTGGTTTCTGGTGGCTAGCATTTGGGTTGTGGAGAGCAGCTATACACAGACCCCAGCGGTTGCCTGGTAACTTTTGCAGGAGGGTTTGCTGCCCAGGTCCATGTGTGCTCAGTGACCTTATCAATCCATGGCTTTTTTTTTTTTTTTTTTTTTTTTTTTTTTTTTGCAGTTGAAATTCAGGTTCTAAACCAGGAAAGAAAATTACAAAGAAAAGAGCCTCAAGGCACAGGATGGTGTATCATGTTCCAGCCTCCCTGGTTACATAGGTTGTCATCCTTTGTCCCTGTGAATTGTGGGAACAGAGCTTGGCTTTCGGTTAACCCCTTCAGTGTGGGAATGTGTTGTTTACTATCTGAGAAAAGTAATTTATGACATGCTCCTCCCACATACAGCCTCCAAATATTTATAGACATAACAAAATATAAGTCTTAAAGTCACCCGGAAGGCTCTGACTCGGTTTTTTAAAAGCACAGGGACGCTCCCCAAACCAAGCTCCACAAGAGGCAGCGCTGAATCTGTCCTTCTCTCGCCCTGCGGTCTTTGTGTTCTCCAGTCCCACTGTCTTCAGGGTCCCTGATGCTATTTAAAGGGGAAAGTATAAGAGGTATGCTGTGGGAGCTTCTCAGTCCCTCATAGACAAACCCACCCCCGGAGGATCACGGGCAAACGCAGATTCCGGGGTGGGGAGGCGGCTCAGTGGTGCGGTGCTTGCTGTCCAAACGTGAGGCCCCGAGTCTGAGTCCCAGAATCTGTGTAAAAAGCTGAAAGTGGTGTGTACCTATAGCATCAGAGCTAGGGATGCAGAGACAGGAGAGTCCCTAGGGCAGGCTGGTCAACGGAGTTCGCGGTGGAGAGGCTGAGGCAGACACTTGATGTGGCCTCTACACACAGGTCACTCGTGTATATGTACACATGAACGCACAAGTGCAGACTGCTCATTCGTTGGGACAGGACCAGACGGTCTGTATCTCTAACGAACCCTGAAGAGATGCTGGGTTTTCTGTTCTGGGCTGCTGTGCTGAGGGGCATCGTCGTCCTGGTGTGCAGGAGCCGCAGCTTCAGCAAGAAGGAACCGAACGTTTAGGCCCAGTGCGGATGTTGTTTGCTGTAAGTGTTTGACGTGTCACAGGCTCGACAAGATGTATGGTACCCATAAGCTGGTAACAGGGAGCCCCAACCCTAAGCACTTTTTTTTTAAATTTGGGGTTGGGATGAATGAACTGTGTGTACTGGCTCATTTTGTGTGTCAACTTGACACAAGCTAGAGTCATCAGAGGAAAGGACTCACAGCTGAGGAGATGCTCCCAAGAGATCCAGCTGTAAAGCATTTTCTCAGGTAGTGACCAATGGTGGGCGGGGCCATCCCTGGGCTGCTGGTCCTGGGTTCTGCAAGAAAGCAGCTGAGCAAGCCAGGGGGAGTAAGTCTGTAAGCATCACCCCTCCATCAGCATCAGTTCCCCTTGTGCATCAGCCTCTGCCTCCAGGACCCAGCCCTGTTTAAGCCCCTGTCCTGACTTCCTCCAACGATGGACCATGATCTGGAACTGTAAACCAAATAAACCCTTTCCTCCCAACCTGCTTTTTGGTCATGGTGTTAAGTCTCAGCAGTGGAAACCCTAACTAACATACTGTGTAAGGCATAGATAGTTCCCAGGCACCGTTTAGAACAAAAATGTTAGACACTTATCCAAAGAGACGCGCATGTCACTGGGTGGGATGCATGTGTGTCAGATGGCCACTAGAGCAGAGCACATAGACACAGGTCCAAGCCAAAACAAAGTCCTTACTAGCCAGCTGGTGACTATACTGGGTATTTGGGACCCAAGTGCAATCTGGAACACTAAGGGGTGGGCTTTTAAGAATAAAACCACATCCTGGGTTGGCACACCTCAGTTGTCAGAACAGTTAGCCAGAAGCAGAACTTCGGAAGCCAAAAAGCAAGGTTAGTACATTTAGAGACTTTTCTAGAACTATGGTCTTTGATGGATTAATGAGGTCTTCTTCCTTCTGCGGTGGCAGTTGGTTCCTCCTGTGCGCTGGGTTCCAAGGCCCGAATGGTACTTCCATCACGGCATCAGTTCTACAGAGGTCTGGGGCACATTTATCTTTTTACACTTACTCTGTACGTGGCTGCGTGCATGCATGTGCGCGTGTGCGTGTGCAGGTGTGTGTGCACGCGTGTGCATGTGTGCGTGCGTGCGTGTTCTCGCCTGTGCTCCTGTGTTTTACTCTATTACTCCCCACCTTATTTTTGAGACAGGGTCTCTCACTGAATCCAAATTCACCTATTTTCTAGACTGGCTGTCCAGCCAGCTAGGAGGGCCTACTTGTCTTCACATCCTCACAGCTAGGAGGCACTAATACTGGTATTCTCGTGGGTCCTGGGGAGCCCAACTCTTTTTGCATGGTAGGTATTTTACTAACTAAGCCCTCTCTCTCCCCAGCCCCCTACAATGGTCCTTTATATAGATTTATTTAAATGTCTATGTAAATATGCAAATTCCATTAGAAATCAAGCCACCTGGTCCTCTCATTTGACTATAAACTTTCACAAGGGAAAACACAGGGTGGGGATTCTAAGCTGGCACCACCCAGCCATCACCCTCTAGTCCATGACTCCAATTCACGTTCTCTTTAATGCCCGGATTTTCTGGGATTTGTGCATTTGTGTTTGGTTTTAAAGTCCATCTGTCCCTTCAGAATGTATGTCCTAAGAGGTGATTGACCCTAGCTTCCCTCATGACCATCTCTTCAGACTCAAGAGCTGGGCTCTTTGTGTATTGGTGTCTCAGATAAGTACATTGGATGAGGGTGAAGTACTGGGCTGGTAAAATCAAGTCTTCTCTCCAGGGTGTAGGAGTCTAATCACTAATCAAACCTAGAAAAAAAAATATGGGTCTGAATCTCAATCCATGGCAGGTGTGAATGTGAGAATATGACCATGGAGACCTTGAGATGAGGTCAAACTGAACCAGGGCTAGTCAATGTCCTAATAGGAGGAAGGATATTTGGAGATGGAGGCAGAGGGTGACATGGGCATTCATAAGGCAGGGAATCCTTAGACTTCAGAGAAGCCTGAGTCGGCTGCAGAGGGCCCCCTGCCATACTGCACAGCAATCCTAGCCTCCAGAGCATGAGAACAAACTCCACTGTGATGGTGAGAATATCACCCTCCCGGGTCAGAAGTGTATCCGATGGAGATCAGCATGCGTGGGAAGTGGCATAAGCCAAGTGTCACCTGGCAAGTCTTACGTTAACCAGCTGCTTTTCAGCACACTGATTATTCGCTTTGAGATACTGGAAAGACAGGATGAACCACTACAAACCAAGCAGACACATCGAGGCTGCAAAGAGGAACTCCAGAAGCATGCTATTCCTGATGAAACTTGGTTGGGAGTGGGGGATGTCTCTAAAATTAGACAAAGCATGTAGAATTAAGGTTTGGGAGTGTGAAGGGGGTGGATTAGCTTGTTAATGTTATAAACTGAAAATCTGTAAAAAGCAGTCTGTCGAGAATTGCAATATGACTTATGATAGATTCATAAAGAGATGAATGCCTTTTTTTTCCTGTATAGGAATCTTCTCTATTTATTTGAAATATTCTCATTTTCATAGGATACAAGTACCCGTTCCAGCCCATCCATTTGCATTCTTTCACACACTGGTATATTGACCATCCCTGCCTGCACTGACGCTCTGACCCACTTCTAAGTCATGCATGCAACTGATTTCTCACAGTGCCTCTGGCACCTAAGCTGCTTCCTTCTGCTGGTTTGGGTGTGAGGCTATAGCTCTTGTGAGTGTAATTACAAACGGCCATATGGCAGTCCGTCATGCATGTGCTGCATGGTTTGTTTATCCAAGGGTGTAAATCTCCAGGCTATAACAAAAGGCTAAAAACCATTCCAAGTACAGAAAGCACCGGCGGTATTTCCTTCCTATGCTGTGACTGAGTCCCCTGGAATTTCTTAGCATCTTGCCAGTGAATAAACAGCTCTCATGCTCCTCAGGCATCTGTCAGAACTAAAGGTCTCAGATGTAGCTTTTAGGATAATAAATGGAATATGAAATAATAAACACAAAACAAACACACGGTTCTTATTTAAGTGGGAGGATTATGGCTGGCCCAGTTTGAGAGTGAGGAGTCAGGGTGATTAAGGAGCAGAGCTGCCAGCACCGCAATGAATTATGGAGGACGAGGGAGTAACAGTGTGGGAGAGAGCCAATTTGCTTGCGAAAACTTTAAAAATGTATGCTAGAGCCCCCGAAGCAGGAGTAGGAGCCCTGCAGCATCCTTCAGCCTTCCTGGAGGGGAAACTGACCGGAAGGAGACTGAGGCTGCCCAGGCTGGCCGTGATATGCCTGGAGAGAAGTGAAGGACTAGACCTTGCTTCAGGCTCTGCCTGCTTAGCTGGGGTCTAGGGTGGTCTAACTCATGCAAGGGTTGAATAGCCAACCATTCTCTGGTGCAGGGAGAACAAGGTGCACCCCAGGGCTTCAGCCAGGGTGTAAGGGGTTTATCTGCCCTTGCATCTTCCCACCCCCCCCCCCTTAAGGAACTCATTGATATCTCTAGCAGGATCCTGTGCCTGCAACCAAGGTCCTATTGTGGAGTGCCCTGTGCATGAGAGCCACCTTCATACTGCAGCTCGTGGGCATTGCGATCTTCTTGCTGCAACCAAATTCCTGCAGGCTCTCTGCAGGCTCTGCCACTGTAGCTTGCCAGCCTTCAACAGATTAGACCCCTAGAGCAAGGGAGTGGTAAAGCAGGTCAGAGTCCCTTAAAAAATAAGTCTTGCAATGTGCAAGCAAATCAATGGCTAGAAATGTATTTGTTACCCAACTTTTTATTTTACAATTAATGGCATATTTTAAGCTACGTGGCCATCACTGCCTTATTTTAGCATTGTAATTAAGGACACCCTGTAATTGCTGGGCTACCTATTTTATAACAGTGTCAGATTTGCGAAAGAACAGAACAGCAAGTAGCTTGAGTTCTCCAAGTCCCCTGCGGTCAGCCTCTTGGCCCCGGTGTGGTAATATGTCTGCTGTGACTGGTGAGCCAGGGTTTTTCATGGTTACCAACCAGAGCCCATCGCTTGCCTAGTCTCTGTCCAGGTGTACCCTTGATGTTTCCCTTTACATGGGTTTATAATGGTGCCTCCACCGCAGCCTCCTGTAGTATCCCTGCTCTAAAATCCCGCTTGCTCCACCCCCTCGCCCCTCTCTTATTGAGAAGCACAGCTTTTTATTTATCTCCATAAATTTGCCATTTCCACGATGGTATGGAGCTACACTCCTGTAGCTTATAGTCCTTGTAGACAAGTTCTTTATGAAAAATTTATGGCCATATGCGGGTGTCTGCCTGTGTTTGCATATGCATGTTTTACATGTGTGATATGCGTATACACGTGCATGTGCACATGTGTGTGCGTGCGCGCGAGTGTGTGTGCATGTGTGTTCTAGTTTTGTTTCTGATGCGGAGACAAAGTACCCTGACAAAAGAGAAGCAGCTTAGGGGAGAAAGGGCTTCTGTCTCTCTGTCTCTCTTACAAACGTTAAGATCTTTAGTTCCCTCCTTTCACCTCTGATCTTTGGCCTCTGTCCCCTCTCTGTGCCCCACCCTCCGCTTCAGTTTTCCTAGAGCGTTGTTAGTTTAATCAACCATTTAAAGAACCACTGTCTCTTTCTGTGACAGCTGCTTGGTGTTTTCCACTTCGTTGATAATCTACTCTGATCTTTATTTCCTCCTTCCTGTCTGGGTTAATTAGCTTAGTTTGTCCGAATGTTCTCATTATGCAAGCTTAACTTACTGTAGGAAGGGAGGACATGCTGGAGAGGCGTGGCTGTTCCTCTTCTTCAGTGAGGACGGTGACCCTCTATTAACCTGACTATTAACCTGACACGTCAACAGTGGCTGTGCTGGTTCTCCTGGGCAACCCTTTCTCCAAAGCCTGTACCTGGCTACTATTCTGAAGGCCCAGTAATAGTCACTGCCTGCGTCTTCCTCTCTCAAGACAACACTGATAAGCTGTAGAGACAGCTCATTGGCATCTACCCAAATGGCCTTGATAGCAACTGAAGGGTTTCTCCCAAATCTGGACACAGCTGATCTGCCAGAGCCAGTGCTCGGTTGCCTGGGCAACATGGTACATGGTGCTTAAGCAATCCCTGGGGATGCACCACACATCTTTGCATCAATAGGTTCTTTGACCAGTGTCCCTGGGTACCAGCGCCCACACTGTTTACAGTTCTCTTCTCTCCAGGTTTACTTTGATGCTGTGGATCGATCCACAGGAGAAGTTGTGGACGAATCCCTGATTTTCAACATTGGAATCAGAGATGTGAATGATCACGCACCCCAGTTTCCCGAGGAGGGATTTAACATCAGTGTGAAGGAGAGCCAAGCTGCAGGTGTGTTGGGTGTGTTCTGCTGAGCGAACATGCCTGTCTTTGCCCTGTATGGCTCCCTGAGTCCTGCTTCCATAGCCATGAGGGCTTTGATCTGGGTAACTCAGGGAGACTTTTCACTGCTCGAATAAAGGTCACAGGCCCAGTGTCACTGAGAGCTTTGCTCTTTGCCAGCTGCATTTGGTGTTGGCAGTGGAAGGGTGTGGAAATTGTGCTGTCTGGAAGAGCCGCTGTGTAACTGTAGCCTAACAACAAAGCCACACCTACAGGGACAGAGATGGACCAGTGGGTGGCTCACCAGGGACTCTGCAAGCATCTCTCTGCAGAGTGGCAGGATAATGACATCTGGCCTCTGGGTTTCAGAAACTAAATCCCTACAGGACACACCAGTTTCCCTAGAAGGAGAATCTATTTTTATAACAAAAGCAGTGTTTAATATTGTAAAATACTCATTGGAAACTGAAGAACTGAAGTTGTGGAAACAGAAAGCATTTTCAGAAATTTGCGAAGTTTTAGTATTTTTTTTTTCCTTTGCGTTTTATATGCGTGTTTACACACAATTTGTGTTGTGCATGTTCACGAATTGTCAGGTTTTATATGTGAGTGTAAACACATGTTTACATATATACTTTTATGATAGCAGAAAACATGCATATATATTAGTACTTAAACATTTCTGTCTTTTTAAACCATTTGTGGAGGAGTCAGGCCATTGATTTTTACAAAAGTAATAAGCCAGAACAAGTAACAGAAATGCCAGAACAACTTTTCTAGCAAATCTGAGGGAAAATAAAGATTTGTTTTAACTTTTATTTTTAATTAATTAATTTTACATACCCCCCTCCTCCCTTCCCACCCCTCCCCCATCTCCCTAATGCACCTGCCCCCAATCCGCTGCTCCTCTGTTTCCAACCAAGCTGAGGCAGGACCAGGCTTCTCTGGCTTGCATCCAGGCTGGGTGAGGCATCCCACCAGAGGGAGCGAGTAGGGGTATTTCTTTCTCTTTGTGTGTTTCCTCTTTTAAAAAGCTGTGCTGGTAAGGGCACAGCTAAAGCCCGGCACTCCAGGATCTGTCCCCAGAACTCAGACCAAGGTAGCCGGAGAAAAATGACTCCACAGGGCTGCCCTTTGACCTCTACACTTGCTCTGAGGCCTCATGCTCCCATCACATGAACATGTGGTAATAATATAGATACTTGATGTACAAAACTTCCCTGCCCATCTTGTACACTGGATCTTTTGTGGACAAGTCCGGAGGTATCTTCCTTGGTCTCTGATTGTTGAGTGTTTTGTTGATGCCTTTAAGAAGTATTTTTGTAAACTCTTTGAGGAACGCATTTGAGCTACCTTACACTGCTGCCGGGCATCACTCACGATGCAGAAGCTGGGGGGGGGGGCGGTGAGGGCTGGTTCAAAGGGGCCATGGGATTGAATCCAGTCAAGTGCTCATTCGACAGCAGTATGTGAGAGCTTGCCAAGTGTTGTCTGCATATCTTTCCTATTATGGCTGAACATTTTCATAGATTTCTTATCCTTTTTTTTTTTCCTTTTTTAATCAGTGGCTTGCTTCTTTGTTTTGTCCAATTTCTGTTAATGTTTGCCATTTTCTTCCTGATCATAGCTTGTTCCTTCTATGTGAAAAACACCTACTTGCTACATCTGTTTCTAATGTATTAACTCAGTGTTTCATTTACTTTTGTGTTCTTTATGTGTTTTATACAATTAAAAACTTCACGTATCTGCCCCCAACTCTTCTGCAAGAGCAGTCATAACTTGAAAGCTCTTTGAGGTTTACCCTTAGGTAAACATCTGACTTTATTTATTATGTGTTGTGTGTCTGTAAGGTGATATCTCATTTAAATATCCCATTCATTCTCCCGTGTGTTCTGATGCCATTTGCGAAGACTCTTCCCTCTTCCTACTTTGGCAAACAACCTTTAGCCAGCAATGACATTCTTAAAAATGTCTTTCTAGGTGAACCTATTTTTCAGTTGTTAACGTCCGATATGGATCAAGAAAACACTCCAAATTCTCGAGTCCTTTATTTCCTCATTTCTCAAACACCATTACTGAGAGAAAGTGGCTTTCGGATTGATCTCATCAGTGGGGAAGTACGACTCTCCGGATGCTTAAATTATGAGGTTATGTAAATTTTATTATTTTAAAAGCACCGGGGCTGGTGATCTAACTCTGTCAGCAAAGAGCCTGGTGCACTAGCAGGGACACTTGGTTCCAGCCCCAGCACCCACGTGACCTGAGTGTCCTGGGTGTCTGTTGTCTCAGAGTTACAGAGGCAGAGGAGGACACATTGCTGGGTCTTCCTGGACAGCCAGGCTAGCCAAATTGGTGAGCTCTGAGCTCCATGGGAGACACTGAATCAAAAATGAAGGTGGACAATGCCTGAAGAGCAGCACCCAAGGCTGCCCTCACACATACACACACACACACACACACACACACACACACACACACACACACGCACGCAGGCACGCACACACGCACAGTGTTGCTTATGCTTGAGCCCCAGATTGGGGCCTGCATTTGCAGTTGGTAGTCTTCTGTGGTTAAACCTTGCTCTGGAAATTTTTAGAAGGAAATGTCCTTGTTAATGTTTCCCTCTCTTGTGTTTGTGTGGCTGAATATTCCTTTTCCTTCCTATGTAGACTGCTCCTTGGTTTACTTTGGTAGTCAGAGCGGCAGATTGTGGAGAGCCATCACTGTCATCCACAGCCACCATCCACGTCAGTGTGGGAGACAGCAACAACCACATGCCGGCATTTATGGACGACCATGTAAGGCACAGGCTCCTAAACTGTAACCGCTCTACAGATGGTCCCCAAGTCCTGGTCTTAGGTACTTTTTTCTAGTGAGTCATGAGTAAGAAACAAACAGTTCTCCAAAGTGACCTAGACTGGACCCGGGAAGTCCACCTGGGCCTAGAGAGATAGGCCAGTCTGTTAAATACTTACTCCCCATGTGTGAAGACCCATACTCATATAAAACTCTGGGCATGGCGGGTATCCACTGAGGACAGACAGGGTGATCCACGGGGTCCATTGGCAGCCATCCTTACCTAATTGGTGAGTCCTAGAGCTCAGTAAAAAAAAAAAAAAAGTCTCCAAAAGTAAGGTTGGAGCCATCAGAATGGCTCAGTGGGCAAAGAGGCATGCTGCCATCCTTACAGCTTGAGTCCCATCCTTGGAACACAGATGGAAGGCTAGACCTCACGCTTGGAAGTGGTGTGTGTGTGTGTGGGGGGGTTCTGCTTGGTAGTGGTGTGTGTGTGTGTGGGGGGGGTTCTGCTTGGTAGTGGTGTGTGTGTGTGTGGGGGGGTTCTGCTTGGTAGTGGTGTGTGTGTGTGTGGGGGGGTTCTGCTTGGTAGTGGTGTGTGTGTGTGTGTGTGGGTTCTGCGCAGATATGTTTGTGCACACACAAATTGATTTTGAGAGGAGTCTCCTTCATGACCCTGCATCCCTCCTGGACACTGTAAGCCTGTCCTTTCATCTTCCTTGTAGTGTCCGATTTAATCTATTTATTCTAGTCTGCTCCCCCAACGGTTGTACCCTACTGTCGGCTCATTAGTATTGTCATTGATTTTATTTTTATTTATTTTTGGGGGGGGCAAGGGCATAGTAACTGATGCATTAATGATTCAACCAATTAATTTAAAAATGTGCCATTTAAATTTTTTAATTGCATAAATCAACATAGACTGTTTTCAGATGAAAGCACCTCATCCAAAAGTTTATACAAATGGCAAAATAATGTTACAGTGGAACCTTGTGTCAGAATCCTTTCCAGGCTTAGAAAAAACAATCTATGCACTCAAAAGTAAGTCTGGAAAAGAAATACTTCACTGTCCCTTTGTACGAGCTTAGAGGCTGTCTGTAAAACTACTGGAAAATGAGCGTATTCAAGGAACTGTGTGTGCTGGGGAGATGGTCACCTTGATCCAAGTGAATATCTCCCCATTGTGGAAAAGCTAGGATACTCAAGGCACGCGGGCTGCGGTGTGCATTGCATCTCAAACATTCTCAGCAAAATAGTGCACTGAGTTGGATTGGAAGAGGACTTTAAAATCACCCAGCTTTAGCCACAGTCTCAGGGGACGCCATTTACAGGAAGGACCGTGCTACTGACTTAATGGTTTTTCTAGTACAGCTGGAGGAATTCAAATGCTTGAGGGTTAAGGGAGTCTGGATGAGGGCCCTTCCTTCTCCCCCTGCCCCTTTTCTCCATGATGTGGCTTGGTGTCTGTGATGTGGGAATGATGGTTATTTCTTCCAGTATAAGATTCAGATTTCTGAAGGTCAAGTCCAATGGGGCGTGTTGCATCTCCCCGTTCAAGACCAAGATTCACCATTTACACCAGCTTGGAAAACACAGTTCTACATATTGGATGGCAACGAGGAGGAGCATTTTGACATTATGACTGACCCTGAGACCAACCAAGGGGTATTAAATGTTATCAAGGTAAAGCCAGTGCCAGGCAGTTTGCATCCTGTGGTCCCTGTCTCAGGATAGCCATAATACCGAAGGGCTAGTGCCTGCTAAACACTCACTGTGTGCTGAGTGGGCACTGTGCCCTGTGCCACCCTTACAAGAATGCAGGACCCTGTGAGCCCTTCGTGTAGAGGCCTAGGGCTCCTCCTGCAAAAATTTACCACATTCGCATACGGCTGGAGTTTTTATTATTTTTTTTCCTGATGTGATAAAAAGTAAACTTAAAAGAATTATTTATTTTAGGTGGACAGGGGCTCAAGTATTAGAGACTGGCCTTGAGCTTTTGATCTTGTTTCTAACTCTAGAGTGCTGGGATTCTGGGCGTACACCACCATGCTTGCTTTCTGTGGTGCTGGGGATCGAACCCAGGGCTTTGCGCATGCTAGGAACATGCATGAGGAGTTGGGCCACACTCAGTCTTCCTCTAAAATGTTTCTCTAATTAAGAAGTTCTTCTTTTAATCTACTGGGTTTAAAACATGTAAAAACCTTTGAAGTGTAAATATTGGAACATCCCTGTGAGTTGTAATGTGTGAAGAACATGAGGAAGCTGGCCCTGGAGGAGACTATTATGGGACACTTAATTTATGGGTGACAAAGTCGAAGGTCAGAGAGATCCTTCCGGTAAGGTTGCATCGCTGAGAATAGTGGGTTCTGACAGGGACGGGCAAAGGCTTTCAAGGAGACCTGAGAATCGCCTGTCCTTTCCTCACGGAGGACCAGCCAGAGCCGATAGCTCTGGGTGGACTCGAGATTCTGCTGTCTGTTGGACAAGCTCCGGGAAATACCGAGGGGCTATAGTCCACAAGTATCTGACAACCTTCTGCACAGTCACCTGCCATTGAGTGTGTCAACCTCCTGGCTTCTGGGTCCTTCCCAGCACCTGGCCACTTTGTACCCTGAGTAGCTATGATCGTTAGTATCTATATTTCTCTACGTTCCTCTGATACTTTTTTCCCCCCCTGTGGCATGGTTAACACTTGAATGTTTCATGAGTTCTGGGTTTTGTTGCATTTTTCATTACCTTCTGATGGAGGGCGGCTCTGTGAGCCAGAGGAGGAGGAAGAGGGTGGCCCCCATGACTGATGTGAAAGGAAACCGAAGACTGGCTTTTCATGTCCTTCCTCCTCTGCTGGGTTTCTGATGACTCTGCTAAGCCTCCTCCAGCAGGGGAGCAGCAGGAACTAATCAACCATCTCTTACCCGGGCAGCCTTTGGATTATGAAACTCAAGCAGCCCACAGCCTCGTTGTTGTTGTGGAGAATCAGGAGCAACTCTTCTCTTGTGAGGAGGGCCAGTCGCAGCCATCGACGAAGGCGATGGCCAGTGCCACTGTGAGCATTCAGGTGGTGGACACCAATGACCCACCAGACTTTCACCCCAGGAGCTTCATGGTCAGTGAGGAGGATGGCGCTGGGCCCGGCATCCAGCTGGGAGATTTCAATGCCACAGACCCAGACAGGATCACCAGCCAGATAAGGTGGGCACAGAGGAGCTGGCAGCAGGGCTGGCTAGGCCGGCTACAAAGCTTGGCCTCCTGGCTGTTAGAGAATGTTGCTGAGGCTGGTTTGGTCTCCGAGTAAAAGCGTAAGGCGCTATCTGATAAATTGGCTGGGTTAATCCAACTCGCACCCTCACGCGGTAGCACCCACTAGGGTCCCCCACGTGCCCCCCTTTGGCCCCTCATAGTCTTCTTTTGTACAAAAAATGATTTGTTACACGTTTCTATGTCTCTCTCTGCCAGATGTCATAGCTCTCTTGCTTCTGGATAAATGCTTCTAATAATATTTGTTATTTTAAATGGAATACTTAAAAGTCAATTCTTTTTGATGAGGTACATATGTGATACCACTTTAAGAGTTCAGTCTGTGGCCCTGAGCACATTCATATACCACCAAGAACATCCTTTGTTTATCCAGAATGAACTCTGTACCCAGTAAAGCCAATGCCTTGGGTCCCTTCCCAGACCCTCTTCCTTCTTCCCTCTTCCCCAGATCCCTTCCCCAAGCTCCTCTCCCCAACCTCTTTTCCATCCACTTCCTCACCCCCTCCCCCACACCCATGGCAGCCACCACTCTACTTCTGGCCCTATGTCTTGACCTCTCCAGTAATGGAATCCTGCAGACACTGCTTGATCAAGGTGTTGGCTGTGTGCCTTCTAGGACAGGGTAGAGAAGGTATCCACAGGGCAGAGTTAGTTTTGATTTGTTCTGTCTATTGGACACCAGTTGAAGTTAGTTATTTTCTGTGCCCAAATTTGCCCAGAAGGTTCTTTTCACCTCAAATGATCTATGGATGATCTATGATCTATTCCTCCCTGGCTTATAAGCATTGTAAAACCACAGAAACTTCTAGAACCTTCCCTAATTGTTAAAGTTGTGCACGAGAAAACAATCTCTTTAAAAGCTATGACCCACTAACTATCAAAGAAGGAACTTGGTTGACCCTGTTGGAAGCATTTTCCCAGATGAGGAAGACAAAATCCACGGAGAAGCTGTCCTTCTCAGGCTATTTTCTTTGCCTGAGCTTTGGGCTGCTGGCTTGAGTGCAGGAATCCTGTACTGTGGTCCCTTCAGAGACGTAGTGTTTGATAACCTCACATGGTTCCAAAGGATACCATCTGTTACCAGCTACTCTCAGAAATCTTGGCATGCTCTGCTCACCTCTTGTTTGTTTGTTTTTGTTTTTTGAGGCAGGATTTCTCTGTGGAGCTCTGTAGCCTAGGCTGGCCTGGACTCACAGAGATCCACCTGCCTCTGCCTCCCAAGTGCTGGGATTAAAGGTGTGTACCACCGCCCACCTCTACTCACCTCTTAAAATGGCTCCAGGTTCACAAATGAGGGGTAGAAAGATGACCCTCAGGCAAGAGAATCCTTTAGGAGCTGCTACAAAGCAGGCATGCCAAGAGAAAGACCCAAGCTCCTGTGGTACACTGAGCTGAGCAGGAAGCCACCATCTGATACCTACAGACCGGCTCTGCTACTGCACCAAGTGCTTTCCCAGGGTAGACCAAATTCTCCTCAGGCCACCCAGGAAGAGGGTGCTTACTCTAGTGTCCCTGGACCTGTCACTCTGGAGAAGTCTTCACTGTCATCCCAGAGCCTTCTTTGCTCTTGTGAGCACTTGTGTGAGTCAATTGTCTTTGAATCCCCAAATTTCCCGTGATGGGAACTGTAGTTGCCTTAGTCTTGCGTTGCTCTGAAGAGGCACCATTAACACATTACCATGGCAACTCTTGAAAAAGAAAGCATTTAACTGTGGCTTGCTTCCTGTTTGAGAGGTTTAGTCCGTCGTCATCATGGCAGCATGCATGGTCAAATAGATGAGAGTTTTACGTCTGGATCCAGCCAGAAGACAGAGATCCCCTAGGCCTGTCTTGGGCTTCTGAATCCTCAACATCCACTCCTAGTGACAACAACATCCACTCCTTCAACAAAGCTACAGCTCCTAATCCTCTCATATAGTGCCACTCCTTGATGACCAAGTATTGAAAGCTAGGAACCTATGGAGGCCATTTGTGTTCAAAGCACCACAGAAGTTCTGTGACTTGTTTTGATTTGAGATTAAAATAGTATTTTTTTGAGGCAAGGTCTTGAACCCTCTATATAGTTAAAGATGGTCTTGAACTCATGACCCCCTGACTCCATACCCTAAGTGGCATGGACCACCCATACACTACCATGGCTATGATTTGTCTTCAGATAAAGCCTTCCAATTTTAAAAAAGAAAAATGTGTCTGTGTTCCTTCTACAAGGTACAAACTAGTTCATGATCCAGCAGATTGGGTGACGGTGGATGGAAAGTCTGGAGTGGTTACCACCAAGAGGCAAATAGACCGGGAGTCCCCTCATGTGAACGACAGCTTTTACACAGTTATTGTCCATGCAGTTGACGATGGTGAGTACCGAGGCAAAGCTGGGAACCGACAGTGCTGGCCCCTCCCTCGGGAGGTCATTTTCAGCGTCGCTGAGGAAATTATGAAGCAAACCTCGTGCTCACTTTGCCTCGACACTGGAGATTATTTTTGATAATAACTTCTGAAATGGTAAACTGGGGAGTAATATTGTTGAAAGAGGGAAGTGTTCACTCAGCAGAGACAATTAAACCAGCCAGGAAGCCGCCATCAGGCCGACCATTTTCATCTGTTCATAAGATAACACAGTATCTCTTTGTCAAGCCCAACGATGTGTGATAAATATTTAGCAGTTTCCTGTACCTGGAATGGCTCATAAGCTCCAGCAAATGTGACTGAGTGGGACACGTTTGTCATAAACTAGCACTGGTGGTTTTAAAACATGTCTTAGCACATTTCTCCAAATTCCCACAAGGCTGGAGTTAAACGCATCAAAACATAAAGCTGCATGTGAGAACTTTTCAAGTAACATTAGAGTTGAACCTGAAGAAGTCTACAGATGCAATCCCAGCTTCAAGTGCTGTGGGCCTGTGCAACCCAGTTATCATCTGGTAGAAGGTTAGTGAGGCAAGATTCCAGTCCCTGTCCTGGGAAGAGAAGCGGCCCCACCCGAACTCCAGGGTGTCACGAGTCTGTTGTGGATGGTCTCCTGACTGCCATGACTTAGTTTTAATTTGAAAAGATGACTTTTAAAATAATGATAAATTTGTTGCCGCCATCCCATCCTGCCCTCCATGGTGGTTTCCGCCAGAGACCACGAGCTGAAGTGTAGAGATAGATGAGTATGAGTGTATCGTAGAAGTGAGGGGCCTCATGGGATGTGAGTGGCCAGTGGCCATAGAGGCCTCCCACTAACTCACTTTTCAGTGGGCTTGATACTATCCCTAAAGTATCTGAACAGACACTTCCCTGAGGGATGTTTCCCTCCCGGGTGATTGGTGGACCTTTGTTCTTTACCGGATTTGTACTATTGTTCGTAGTACATTATCACCGGGTAGTCATAATCTTCCAGACCTTTCCTGGTGACTGCCATGTCTCCACCTGGGGTCAGAGCCTGGCGTCTCAGTACCTGACTTTAGGAGCTGACTATGAGGGAAGACCCTCCCTCAGTGCCCCCCAAGCCTAGCAGATTCACGCGAGGCTTTAGCATCCTAGTACCCTTTGCCCAGGTTTACCCAGTACACCTTATAAAACTGCGTAGTCCCCCATCACAGGCAACTATCCCCATCTTCCCTGGGGATCTCCCATGCTGCCTTTCTACAGGCACTACCCTCCAACACCGCCTTAATGTGTAACATGGCTGACAGGACATGAAGTACCTCTACACTCTACCTCATCTACAAACAAGGAATTGAATGCTTTTCCTGGATGGCCTGACTTTTCATATAGGCAAGAAATAGATTGAGCACAGGCCTGGGCGGTTCTTAGCATTGAAAGAGAAATAGCCGGATGTTTCTGTGAGTGGATTCATCTTGTCAGATCTGAGCATTATCATGTGCCAGGCCTATGTGTACAAGGAGGGTTCTCTCAAATCTGGAAGGCCCAGGGCCTGATCTACCTCTCTCTCTGCAAGTAAATGAGCCCATGGCTGTGGAATAGCAAGCCTGATCCAAGTCCAGGCTTGAGGAGTGGGAGGGAGATTAATCTGTCTCACAGAAAGCGCTCCCATCTTCACAGGTTCAGTCTGAGGAGTTGTGATGGGGCCCTCCCTAGTGTGTGAGGACCATGCTGTCTTGCTCCTGGGGAAACTGGCTTCTGTGAAGGATCAGTGGGGCAGAGACAGGCTATAGCTTCTTCTTTGCAAATCAGGTTCCAGTCTGGCCTCCACAGGTCCTGATAGCAAGCTAGTTTTGCAATTCAAATGAAGAGGCAGAGGAAGGCAGGTGAGGCACAGACATGCTCCCCACCTGAGGCCAGGCAGAAGCAGGGATAGTGAGCTCAGTCTGCCTTAGTTTGCAATGAGCCTCAAAGCTGGGTAAAAGGCTGGACGCATGGACGCTGTTTCACCCACCTAAAACGCTGCTGGGTTTTGTTTGTTTGGTTGATTTAAATTATTCATTTAGTCACGATTTTATTGGTTCTTTGAGAATTCCATCTAATGTATTTCGATCATATTTACTGGCTTCCATTACCTCCTCTCACGTGGCATCCCCTCCCCCCCCACAGGAACAGTTGGTGCTGCCTGTGTGTGTGTGTGTGTGTGGTCTGTCTGTCTGTCTGTCTGTCTGTCTGTCTGTCTGTCTGTCTGTCCGACCACTACAGGGTGGTCAGCCCACCAGGGCCACACCCTGACTGAAAATGGACTCCGTCTCCAGAGAGCTAGCATCTGTCATGAGCCCTCCTAGGGCAGGGGCTATTGACACTGCCGATTGTGATTGTGTAAGTTCATTTCCATTTTCTCACTTTAGTATTTTAACCTACCTTTACCCTGGGACTCTTCCTTTCCAAGGCCTCCCGCCGCTGACTGGCACAGGGACCCTGATGCTTTTCCTGGCTGACATCAACGACAATGCTCCAACTCTCCAGTCCCATTCTCGATACTTGGAGGTCTGCGAGTCTGCCAGGGACATGCCCCTGTTCTTAGAGGCCGAGGATGCAGACCTGGACCCCTACTCTGACCCCTTTACTTTTAACTTGGACTCTGCCCAGAGAGATGTAGATGATACTTGGATGCTGAGGACAAAGCAGGGTGAAGGTTTGTATGAGTTGGGGGCTAACCCAGACTGTGACAGTAAATTTAGGGTGGGGACACTGGGTCCCACAGTCTCAAGTGACCCGTGGAGAACCTATAGGCCAGCGTGTGTTGTATGGGAGGTCGGCCAGCCTTACTTACTGCGTCCCAGAAAGGACTCTGGCAGGGACTGGGGTGAGCTTGCTTAGATGGAGTGTTGTATGCATGTTGTCACTTAGGCAGTATAAGATATACCCACGTGTGGGCATGGGTTTCTCAAGGCAGAGTCCCAGTTAAGTGCATCTATAGTAGTACAGACAGGATCCTGTGGGCCTAGGTAGGATCCTGTGTGTATCGAGGATCCTGTGGGTATAGGCAGGATTTTACGGTCCAAGTAAAAACCTGTGGGTATTGGCGGATCCTATAGGTACAGGCAGGAGCCTGCAGGTGTGGAAAGGATCCTGTGGGTATATGGGTATATAGGTAGGAGCCTGTGGGTATGGGCGGAGTCCTGTGGGTGTAGGCAGGATCTGTGGGTATAGCATGGGTCTGTGGGTGTAGGTAAGGATCCTGTGTAGACAGGATCCTCTGGGTGTAGTTCAGATCCTGTAACTCGTTCAACAAGTTGCTTGTTCAGATAGTGTAATTTACAGTAAGGTTTAAAGGTTAATTTTCTTCTGTCAATAAAGTTGTAAAGTAGGTTTATGAGGAGTGTTGTTTATGTTTAGGAATGAGAGGCGCTAAAAACTCAAGGCCATGGATCATTTTGGGCCCTAAGTTAGCACAGCTTTCTCTGCCACCCTCATTTGGGAGTGTCTTTAGAAAGGCACACACGGTCCTCTCTGTAGGCAATTTGGCTTTAGCAATGGTGTCCAGCAGAAACGGCTCCCGGATCCTGGGACAAAGGGCCTCTTTCCTTTCCTATGTGCACTTTGCTTTCTGCTTTTCTGTCTTGTCCCATTTCCATACAGAGCCCTGTCCATGGAGGAAGCGAGGAGATACACGCTCACGTCTCTCTGCCTTTGCAGGCCGCTCTGCTGAGCTCCTAATGCTGAGAAGCCTCCCTCCGGGGGATTACTTGGTGCCACTATTCATAGGAGACAGACAGGGCCTCACTCAGAAGCAGACGGTCCATGTGAGGGTCTGCTCCTGTCCCGGTGGACCTGAGTGCGAGAATCGCTCAGACGTGGGGCTGCTGTGGTGGGCCCTGTTCCCTATCTGTGCAGCGCTCATGGTGCTGGCAGGTCAGTGATTCTGGGAGCTGAGCTCCGCTCCTCGCTGAGCAAAAGACAAGGGGACACACGGTCTCTGCGTGGGTGGGAGGAAGATGCGCTCTGGGTTAGTTCAGGTCAAAGTTCGCCAGACACACCTAATTGACCCAAATAGAGTTTACCCAAACTCATTATGTAAACAACGGAATCCACAGAGGAGCACCACAGTCCAAAGGTGAGCGTGTGTTTGTGGTAACCATGGTTACAGCGGTACACAGGTGTACAGGCGTCTGGGTTCCTGGGCTTAGCTAAGGTTAATAAGGGCACTAGGTATTCCAAGAAACAATAGAATACTCCAGGCCAGCGAATATCAAGCGGTGAATTCAGCAAGAAGAGTTGGCAGGCACCTACCTGAGCCCCACATGCTGCTCAGCTCCTGAGATGACTCAGATGGAGCCTGACCCTGGACCTGGCCGGTTGCGGTTGAGTGGATGTGATTGGTCCCCTGACAGGGGAGCTTGGATGTGATTGGTCCCCGTGATGGGGGAGCTTGCTCAGTCCTTTCTGTTTCACCACAGCTGCTCTGTTTTCTCTACTGCGGTGTCACTTTGTATTTGGACCCAAGAGGCTCAGAGGCTCCATCCCAAGTGACAATGGCCACCAGACACTGATTGTGTACAACGAGGACAGCAAAGCCCTTTCAGCCCAGGTAGGGACTGTGGAGCAGCGTTGCGTTGCGCGGCAGCAGTGTCAACAGCACAAACCGGCAGAGCACACGTTTCATGGATTAACGCGTTTCGTGTGTGTGTGTGTGTGTGTGTGTGTGTGTGTGTGTGTGTGTGCGCGCGCGCGCGCGTGCCTATGTGTATGCCTGTCACCAGGTATGTGCACTCCCCGCGGAGACCAGAAAGAAGTATACCCTGGATACCTTGGAACTGGAGTAATGAGCTGTGATAGTTTGTGGCTGCCATGGGGATGCTGGGAATTGAACCTGGATCCTCCAGAAGAGCAGCCGGTGTGCTCTTAACTGCTGAGCCGTCTCTCAGACGCTCATTTCTTTACTCTTAATTCGTGTTTGAGTGACACACAGGAAAGCATTTCCTCCAAAATTGCATGTCGTGGCTAGATGCTTTTGTGTTTTCTGTCAGTGGGTCTCAACCACGCTCAGTGTGTCCCTCAGGGGACACTTGGCAGTGCCTGGAGGTTCTTTGGACAGTTGCAATTAGAAGATGATATGGGCCTGTAGTGGCTGAAGCCAGGGCTGTAGCCAAATATCATCCAACACAGGATTATGTGGCCCAGGCTCCCCAGTGCTGGCTTGAGAAACCAAGCCCAGGAGAAAACAATTCTACCAGGTTGAGGCTTTCTTCTGGGTGGCATTCTTTGCTCCCTGGTGAAATGTGAGCTGGCTTCTCTGTCACGGCCAGTCGTCCTGAGGTAGAACCACTGTGCCATCCTCCACAGAGGACGAGAAGAGGTCTCCCTGGATTTGCAGGAGCGAGACTCAACTCTCTCTGCCTTTACATCACACTAACCTGGTATATTTGAGCAAGCCATGCACTATTCACGCTCACATTCCCATCTGTTGTCTGAAGTGTTGGAGTCCGCTCCCCGGGCACTGGACTGGGGGACAGTACCTAAGACAGCACCCAACACAACTCAGTTTGCACGGACTCTGGACCAGTGACAGCTGGATGGAGCCTTGTCTTGTCCTTGTAGCTACTTTGGGTTTGGTAACATGAGCAACGAGATGATAGGGGACCATTGCAGGTGCCTTAGCAGAGAATGGCTCATGATATAATGTGACATAAACTCTACACAGTAAGACGTTCACCCTGCCCACACACCAGCCACCGAGGATGACAAACAATAAAACATCCTCAGATGCTCCAGCGGGTGTGTGGAATAAATGGCTCTTCCCCGACAATGTCGCTGTTACACATTTTGGGTTGTGCGGTTCTCTGCTTGCTGGTTTTTATGATTTTCCCCCCCTGACCTCTGTTGTATTTCTTCCTCTGGTTTTCACAGATGCAGCCAACTGGGGAAGACCAGATGCCTGCTCTGTCCATCAGAACAGCTATGGCCAGTGCCAAGCCTGATGTGAAGGTACCATGCCTCTGTTGACTCCGTCTGCCATTAGTTCTGAAAGAGAAACACCCTGGCTGCCTCTCTGGCCCACACAAAAGGCTTCTGGACAAGGAACTGGAGAGGGAAGGGTTTCTTCACTGTTCAGTTCAGCGTAGTTTAGAACTGTTTACACACATGCCCAATCTTCCTTTAGCTATGTAGTAGGTGCCTACAATTTTGAAAGTCAGAAATGACTCTAGGCTGCTGAATTTAAGGGCAGGACCAGGGTCTCTAATTACCCAGTTCATTCAGCCCTGCTGGTCAAGGAGGTCTGCCGTGACCCCATAACCACAACCATGGTGGGTGGACTGGCACTTTCTCTTTCGTTCTTTAGCGGAGGCCAGATAATTACCTAGGAGTGACTTGTTGGACAACCTGTGCATGCCCACTCCTGTAGAGTTGACATTAGAACTATACCAGGGAGGAGAAAATGTGTGTACTAGTTCTATTTCTAAGATAAAATGCCGTGAGCGAAGGCAATTTACAGAGGGAAGATTTCCACCATGGTGGGGAGGCATGGCAAGGGTAAGAGCCGAGAGATCACATCTTGGTCACGCGCAGGAAGCAGAGGGGAGGTGGAAGTGGGGGGAGGGTATAGCCTCTAAAAGTCTACCTCCAGTGACACACTTCCCCTTCCAAGCTCCTTTCGAAAGGTGCCATAACCGCCCCAACAGCAGCACTAGCTGAAATCCACGGAGGCCATTTTCAGTCACGCCATCACAGTGCTGGCCCCTACTTTACAGGAGAGAAAACTGAACCCTTTGCCCTCAAGTTAGTGTTATCTCCGGCTTCCTTCCCAGGGTCCTGCATGCACTAGAACATTCACAGTGATGGCGAGATCGGCCTCTGTTCACACTTTTAGAGTTAAGGAGCCACTTGGGACTGATTGCTAGTGCGATGCTTTGAACCCTGTGGCAAAGAAGGAGATATCTTCAAGCCCAAGTCAAGATCCACTGATAGCTGCATTTCCTGTGTGTGTGTGTGTGTGTGTGTGTGTGTGTGTGTGTGTGTGTGTGTGATGTGCTTGAGGATGCACATTGTGGTTGGAGGTCAGAGGTCATCCTCACAAGCCTTTCCTCACGATCCATCTCCTATGTTTTTTTTTTTTTTTTTTTTTTTTTTTTTTTTTTGCTGAGTCAGGGTCTCTCACTGGGATCTGAGCCTCAGTTAGGCTAAAGTGACTGGCAGGCAAGCCTCAGGGATCATCTGCTTTCCATCCCCCCAGGGCTCAGAGTCAGACAGACATCACTACTTCTAGCTTTGTAACTAGTGTGAGTGCTGGGGATTGAACCCAGGTCCTTCTGCTTGTGTGGCAGGCATTTTGCCAACTGAGGGTTTCTCCAGCCCACCAGCTTGATCTTCATGGACATTTTGCTTTCTTATTGATTAGAAAATCTAAATTAAAATACGGATATTATCTTGGTTAGAGTTTTTACTCATGTGACAAGACACCATGGCCATGGCAACTTATAAGGAAAACATTTAATTGGGTCTGACTTATAGGTTCAGAAGTTTGGTCCAGTATGGCCATGGTGGCACAGAGGTAGGGTGCTGGAGGAGGAGCTGTGAGTTCTGTGTCTTCCGCAGACCGCAGGAAGAGAGAGACACTGGGCCTGGCTTCAGCGTCTGAAGCCTCAACGCCCACCCCCAGTGACACACATCCTCTATCAGGGCCTCTGTCCTCACAGTGCTGCTCCCTATGAGCCTATGGGGCCATTTTCATTCACAGTGCCACTGAGCTCTTGTGCAAACATTGTCTGCTATCAGATCTCTTGCATTTAAACCACCTCGTTTGCCACAGCCTCCTAGACCTACCTGTGTGCTCACTCACAAATTAGGGGCCCGTGTCAGCCTGGGGACGCTGGACTCCTTGTGCCACCCCAGCACCCCAGCAGGGTTCTCAGACCCTTCTCTTTTTCCCTACTCCTCTCCCTGCCCTGCTGTCTTTCCTCCGAGGACCTGAATAAGCAGAGTTGTGCAGGGTCACGGGGGTGGGGGTGGTTGGCTCCCTCTTGGATAAAATCAGCAGGACCTTGGTGAGATCCTGCCACGTCCGTGGCACATACTAAGTGTTCTGTGCTCTGGGTTCTCTGGTGAGTTACAGACATTTGTTCCCAGCTGCAATCACCACACCTCCCCCCCACCATGGGCAGACAGTTCCTTTGTGAGAGACGGCCCTTTGCGAAGATTCATTTATTGCATTTGTGACAAACACATACACAGTGAAAATCCAGAGGTGGAACATCTCCCGAAAGATGTGTATTCCGACATTTTTCTGCCTAACCATCATTACTTGCATTGTTGGGGGCGGGGATTGGGGGTTTCATCTGGTACAAAAGCTGAGTATCTGAGGTCAAGCTCCAGAAGCCACATTAGACAAGCACACACGTTAGCCACTTGCAACCCCACATGCTGGGGATTCAGAGGCAGGAGGATCCCATTGACCATGTGCTCTCTCTCTCTCTCTCTCTCTCTCTCTCTCTCTCTCTCTCTCTCACACCTATTTTTTGATAGCCTCATCAAATATGACACATTTCAGACATTCCACAAACAGAAGCATTTTTTTTGTGTCCATCTGAGGGCACCAGAGCCCAGTCTCTAAGATTAAAGCCTGTGAACGAGCCCCGAGCCCACACTGCCTGTGGGCAGAACCCTGATTCCCACTCTACCTCGTGTCTGTGTTTGTCCCACATGCCAACTCTAGAATTATAACCTTGCTTGGCAAAGTGATTTTTGTGGAATACTTTCAAAGTCAAAAGAAGCTATAACCATGTAAGGGTACCCTGTGGGCTCTCCCAGATCCCCCGGAGAACACATCATATGACCACAGCACACCCAAGCCAAGGAGCTCCCTGTGTGCTCTCTCCGCATGAGTCTGGGGTGCCCATCCCATCGGACCTCATCAATTTAATAAGTTGCTGTTTTAATATTAGTTTAGTTTCTTGGCATATGAGGGAGAGATATTCAAGGTGTGATGTGCCAAGGCCTCTGTACACGAGGACACATAGGATGGAACCCACAATGTGTGCAGGATCTTACTGTGGCCTTGGCTTGCCTGAGAATTAGGATGTTGTACTTCGTACAGAACAGATGCCACCAGGGAGGGCCCAGGCCTTGAAGGCATGTTCCTCTAGTCGTGCAAACCTGGCTTTATAGACGTGGAGTCTGTTCGGTGGCCCCGTGCAGGGCCTGTGGGGGGAACCCTTGAAAGCCCAGGAAGAATTTACTCCTCTGCTGCCATCACCTTCTCAGTCCTCTTTTCCTTTTTAGTTTAACACATGGGCTTCATGTCTTTGTGCACTGAGCCCTTCATGTTGCATGATGAGTCAGCCTGCATTCTAGGGATGGCGTAGGCGTCCATGCACATGCTGAGGTCCCAGCCATGACCCAGGGCGCCTTCTTGGGGGCCTGAGAACACAAAGACAAATCTGACATCTTCGTGCTCCAGTGCTACACAGCAGTTTAACCCACTGTGAGGCCTCTCTGCGGTGAGTGTGCCTGTGTGTGGTGTCTCTGCAGTGAGTGTGCCTGTGTGTGGTGTCTCTGCGGTGAGTGTGCCTGTGTGTGGTGTCTCTGCAGTGAGTGTCCCTGTGTGTGACGTCTCTGCAGTGAGTGTGCCTGTGTGTGGTATCTCTGCAGTGAGTGTCCCTGTGTGTGACGTCTCTGCAGTGAGTGTGCCTGTGTGTGGTGTCTCTGCAGTGAGTGTGCCTGTGTGTGACGTCTCTGCCGTGAGTGTCCCCAGGCGGGTCCTCTGCAGTGAGTGTCCCCAGGTGGGTCCTCTGCGGTGAGTATCTGCACTGCTATCTTTAGGACTCTCCCCTTCAACAATGAAAAGTGGTGTCATGTCAAGGACCCCTAGCCTCGCATTTACATCTGTCTCTGATTTATATGAAATCAACAAAATCTCATTCTTCTTCTATTTAAGGGTCATGGCATGTTCTTTGAGCCAAGAGGCATGAGGAACCGCTCTTCCACCCCAGTAAGTACAGCCATGCACGGTGCCATGAACATTACCTTGCTCAAAACCACTAAAATAGGTGGTTTGGGAAAGAAGGGTGGGTTCAAAATACAGTCAACACCCAGCGTACCTAGAGTGGAGTGTGGAGCATGGACCAGAAATGGCTGAAACAGGCTCAGTCTGAGGGTGTCCAGGCAAGCTGGAAGATCCCGGGTGGGAGGTACATCCTGAAGCTCACTGGCCAGTTGTCACAGCCAAACTGATGAGTTTACGGAGGGGCCGTGTATCAACAAATAAATATAGGGCCAGTGAGAATGCTCAGCAGGTAAAAGTGATGGCTGCCAAAGCCTAATGACCGCAGCTACATTCCAGGGGCCCGTGAGAAATGGTAGGGAGAATCAACTCCTGCAAGTCCACACACTCTGTGGCGTGGACAGGACAACTGTCACACAAAGGCGTGGGCACACGTGCACACAAATAATGAATTTTAAAGATGAAAAAGGTAGAATGGACAAAGAAAGTTGACTTTAACTTCAAGCCTCCACACGTACATACACACATATGCATACGCCAAGACATGCATGTACAATAGTCTCCATTCACATACACACAATGGATGGTTAAAGCACAGGTGTCTAAGGACGTGAAGGCATATGGCACCAGTCCTAGGACGTTCATTTTGGCTGCTGCATGCTGGACCCTAGCATCTGCCCTTGTCTTTGCCCTGAGAGGCACTTTGAGAGGTCCAATTGCTCCAGATGGGGTGGATCCATTCCTCCTCTGGGCACCTGTGGTAGCAGATTCCATTCATCTTTTCCACCAAAAACCTACCAAGCGTCCACTCCAAATAAGGCAGATGAGTGGCTGCTTTAAAGCCTTGCTGTGAGCAGGTACTGACACAACCCACACTTGTTAACCGGAGTGATGGATTCAAATAATGATTCAGATGAAGCCAGACACCACAGAGATGTGGGTGCTATGGTGAGGTTTAGGGGTATGCTTCCTAATACTCAATTCTTCTCTCACTGGGAACTGCTTTTGTAGCATCGAAAAATGTTTGGTATGCTCCTGGAATCATCCCAAATGTCATCACTATTTAAGCAGCCTTGGTCATCCTATGAACATTCTGTTTGATTCATTAGATGTGAGACAAAAAGCATAATTCACATTTCACAAAAGGCCAGTTGGTGTGGCATCCCAGATGGGGTTCAAAAGGATGAGGGCCACCTTCTGTTATATTGCCAAAGTGACACCAGAGAAGAGCTGAAATGGTTTGTGGACGCCTAAGATTAAGTGTCTGTTGCTGGAGGACTGGCGCACAGTCACAGACCTAGAGACAGGGCCCACGGTCAGCGGCTAAGACCAGAGAGACGCCGCATCAGCAGATGCTACTGTCCTGGCTGTGCAGGGGTCTCCTATAGAGTGTTGTTAGGGTGCTGAGTGATTCAAGGCAGAGCCAGCATGAGTCGTCTTTGGGAAGAAGCCATGCTGCCTTCTGACTGGGAGTAGAAGACGTGTGATAACCCGAGGTTCTGTGTCATACAAAGCCTGCATCCCTTCCCTGTTTTCCAGTGTGTGTGTGTGTGTGTGTGCACGCACATGTGTGCATACATGCGCTCTGGTGTGCACACGCCTGTGGACTTCTGTTGATGTGCAAGAATCATCCTCCATCACTTTTCCATCTTATCCTTCCTTTAAGGCTGGATCTTTCTGTCAACCCAGACCTCACTGGGGTGGCTGTTCTCACTAGCCAGCTTGCTCGGGGGATCCCGTCTCTGCCTTTGAGGCTGGAAGTATGGACAGACTGCCATGCACACACAGAATTCACACATGTTCTGGAGATGTGAGCTCTTATTGCTTGCTTGCGTTGCAAGCTCTGAGCCTTCCCTCCAGCCAGCTCCTCCAGAGCTCGAGTCTGAAGGAGTGTTCTTAGAGAGAAGCTCACGGAGCTAAACTGAGGACTGTGACAATGGTGTCAATAGCTAATCAAGTGCTCCCAACCCTGGGAGCGGGCAGGCGGTGCACCGGTGACTGTGGCTGGCAGTCTGTGCTTTGTCAGTGCTGTTGAATGTGTTTAGTTCCACCTACCTAGATGTGGTGAGCACACTGCTAGCCACTATACACGCTCACATGTAAGTGTATATGTATTGGGAAGGGTGTGTCACACTTTCGTGTATACGTCTGTGTGTGTACACAGTACATGTACGTGTGTCATCAAAGAGATGTAAAACTGGCCTAGACATTGTCATATGTTGGTATGTCCAAATATGTCTACACTCAGGATAGTCATAAGTCACTTTAGCCACAGCATGCCACAAGTCCTTCATAGGCATGGGTCAGCATGCCACTTCTACTTTGTGGTCCCCAGCAGCTTGTCATTGCCCTGTGACATCCTGCATCTGCTGGCCTCTGCCCTTGTCCCCTCCTCAGGACCACTTGCGGCGATCTGCTTCCCCACCTTCAGGAGGGCCCATCAACCTCCCCCCCTGACTTGGGGCCACCTAGAAATGTCCTTCGTGTCCCCCTCATGTTTCTCCTTGTCCTAAGAGGTCTTCCTGGCTCCAGCCAGGTGAAGGACCCTTCTGTCACCCATGACTCTTCATGTCCCGGCCACTCTCGGGTACTGGCCTAGCATATGCATGGTGTGAACTGAGTAAAGGTGCTCGATAGCCAGGCCCCAGGCCCCTGCCTGGCCTCCGTACAGGACCAGGAGTGTGGTTGAGCTGGAGAACCACCAGGTGCAGGTTCATCGTTTCCCTCCACGGAACACTTCCTCTTTGGACAGCCCTTGGAGGTCAGACAGATGCATTAACACAGTGAACGCCCGTGTGCCCACCTCCGAGGATGACCTGGGCTGGGCATGAGCAAGGCTCAGGGAGAAAAGTTATAAGCGGGGGTTTGGGGATCACACAAAGGTCCCCCAAGGAGTGGGATTGTGGAAGAGACCTCCGTGCTGCTAATGGGTGGACTCCAGCCACTTTCCCTGTGAACGTGTGTGGACCTCCCGGCTCCCAGCACACAGAGGGAAGTGTGGCCCCTTTGTCTTTGGTCCGATTCTACCTCAGTGCTGAACCTGTGCTGAGGACAGCAGGCGCTGTGTGGCAAGTGCTCCTCGGGCTAGACTCTTGTAATTCATTTTGCAGGTCTATCTGGAGCGCTTGGTGCCCAGATACCCGCTGCCTCTGATGGAAGGCAGAGTGGTGGAGACGTGGGTTCAGGTACGCGCTCTTAGTCCTTGCCCTGGCTGTCACCCCCCCCCCATCCTCCACATTGTCCCATGTCTGCCTGGGGATGCCCTCTCCTAAGCCACTGTATGGGTCAACAAAGGCTGCCATAACACAGTGTTATAATCTGGTGGCTCAGACCACAGACATTTATGGAAAACAGCACCAGAGCCTCTAATCTGAGGTTCTGGGACCCTGTCTTGTGAACCCTCACGATGTCCCTGGCATCTCCACTGGTGGTGCCAGAGTGGACAAGGGTGTCATGACCCCAGGAAGTGAGCCTGGGCTGTGTTTGGATGTAGAGCCTCTGCCAGGTTCTCCCAGCACTGGCTTCTCTGCGTTTCGCCACTATCCCCAGGTTGGTACTACATACCCGTAGCTGCCACAGACTCCTGCCTTTGAGTTCTGCAGCACGGACAATGCCTAGTGGCTGCTGGAATACACCAAAGGCAGACCCACCAGGCTCCTGACGGGAGACTTTGTGTGCAGGTCTGGGCTGCAAGACCCTTGCTCCGGCCCTGATCACCGGGAGGAATATCCTTAGGGGCCATCTCTCTCTCCTTCTACCCCTCCCCCTCTCCATTCCCCTCTTCCTCCTTCCTCCTCTCTTCCTTCCTCCCCCTCCTGCCCTTCCTCCCTCTCTCTCCAGACCAGAACTTCCATGATGGAACCCTGTATCCTTACAGAGTGCCAGATTTTCATCTCTGGCAAAATACCTGACAGAGAAAAGACTGAGCAGGAGGAAGGACTTGACTTATTTTGTCCCCATTTCAGAGGCTTCAGCCCACGTTGGTTGTCCCCACTGCTGTGAGCCTGTGGTTTGCCCGCCCTGACAGGGCAGACTCAGCGAAGGTGCCCAACTCAACGCTGCCATGAGGCAGAGCAGAGTAACAGGGAGAGTTCAGGGCAAGAGAGACAGCCCCGGTGGCCCACGTCCCCCACCAGAGGCTGCCTTCCATCATCGCATCGCTTCCCATCGGGGAAGGCAGAGTCTTCAGGACCCAATCACAGTGCAGAAGCCCTGCCCCTGAGCTTCAGTACACTTCAAGTCCAAGTAGAACAGTCAATGGAGAAAGACAGATTTGTCACTAAAGCTCCAGGAGAAAGGCAGAGCTTGGGCTGCACACAGGACGCTGACTGTGTGCACGTGTTAGAGCTGAGGCTTGACACAGGACACCGACTCACTGTCATTGTTGAGCTATGAGGGCAGAACCGTGTCTGGGCTTAGGCCACTGTCTTCTTGTGGCAGAGATATGGGGAATTGATCTGGGGCCAGAGTAGAGGTCACAGAGTCCAAAGCAGCCTACCTGGCTATTGAGCAACACCAGCAAAGCCTGTGCTTCTTATCCATGCAGGATGCTTGGCCAGTTCCCACCTCATGCTTAGAGGCGCTGGGCGCAAATAATGAGGCCACCCAATTACCAATACATCTCCCGGGGACCAAGACATCTGGTGCCCATTTCCATGTGCGCACACACCTAGCTGGGACCAAGTAGGCGGTACGCATAGGGCCACAGGTCCCATGCGTCTGTGCAGGAGGAGGCTGCGTCCCAGGAGAGAAGCTCCCTCCTCCTGCGGCAGCCAGGCAAGCTGCTTTGTGCAGTACAACTTAAGCCCGGAGTTCCACCGTGTGAGAAGAAAAGGAAAAAAAATATCAAACCCCAGATGAGAAGAGCGAGTCTTTCCCTCGCGAGGCTGCAGACTTAGTTGGGGGTTTGTGATGAATTATTGATCTTAGCGGATTCTGGGATTGCTGAGTCAGGGCGCAGAACCCTGCCGCTTGGCCGCCAGCCTTGGGGTTTGAAGTTGAATTCTTGAGGCGCGGCCCCCGCCGCCACTGCCGATTCAGTTTTGCTCTGCACACACCAGGTTTGTTATGAATTATCTATTTAGCTTTGCCCAAAGGACGTGACTGGACTCCTAACATCTGGGCCAGGTTTGGACATTCGCCTCTCAGCCGCGAGAGCTTCCTTTCCTCTCCACCACCAGGGTGTGGAGTGGATGCGTGGCCGCGGTCCTCAGATAGCAGGCCAGCAGGTGTGTGGGATGCGCTCCTGTGTGTGGGCACCGAGTCCATGCACAGTGGAAGCTGGGGTTCTGCTCTGCGGGGGCAGCAGGGCTCCTGTGAGGCTGCTGGGAGCTAGAGAGCAGCTGGCTGCCCGTAGAGAGAGTGCACCAACCCATGGTTGTTGGCAGGAGAACACACGCAGGGAGCCTCAGGGTCCTACGGCTTCCTCTCTCAGACCTTACTCCAGCTCCCATGTTGTGCTCTGAGCCTCTGTGCTCCAGATGAGTTCGTCCTCCACACACGGTGTCAGGATGACAGGTGACAGATGACAACAGGTTAGGAAGTGTCACTAGATCTATTCCCACCATCACTGACCGAAGTGACTGTTTCGGACAGTATCATCCCGGATGTCAGCAAATAGGTTGAATCTCTTCTTACGCCCCTTCCTTCATCTCTTTGCTATCTAGCCATCCTTCTCTCTTTTCATCCACCCACCCAGTCACCCACCCACTCACCCACCCACCCACCCACTCACCCACCCACCCACCCATCCACCCACCCATCCACCCACACACCCACCCACCCACCCACCCACCCAGTCACTCAGTCACTCACCCACCCACCCATCCATCCACCTACCCATCCACCCACCCACCCATCCACCCACCCACCCACCCACCCATCCACCCACCCATCCATCCACCCATCCACCCACCCATCCACCCACACACCCACCCATCCATCCACCCACCCATCCATCCACCCACACAGTCACCCACCCACCCACCCACCCACCCAGTCACCCAGTCACTCACCCACCCACCCATCCACCCACCCACCCACCCACCCATCCACCCATCCATCCACCCACCCACCCACCCAGTCACCCACCTACCCATCCACCCACCCATCCATCCATCCACCTACCCAAACACCTGTCCATCCATCCATCCACCCACCCACCCACCCACCCATCCACCCACCCACCCACCCATCCACCCACCCACCCATCCACTCATCCATCCACCCACCCACTCACCCACCCACCCATCCACCCACCCACCCATCCATCCACCCATCCATCCACCCATCCACCCACCCACCCATCCACCCACCCACCCACCCAGTCACCCACCTACCCACCCACCCACCCATCCATCCATCCACCTACCCAAACACCTGTCCATCCATCCATCCATCCACCCACCCACCCACCCATCCATCCATCCACCCACACACCCACCCACCCACCCACTCACCCACCCACCCATCCATCCATCCCTCCATGCATGCATGCATAATACACGCACACACACATTTCTCCATCTTTACTTCTCTCTCTCCTTCCATATCTCTGCCACCCTTCTGCCTCTCTACTCTCCATCCTGAATGGCTCCATCTAACTGTCCACCTGCCCACCTACCCATTAAACACTTGTTAAGTGACTCGGGAAGAGAAAGCCAGGCAGCCCTGCTAGAGCCCTGGGTCCTGAACACTGAGCTAGAGCTTCCAGGCAGCAGGGAGCCTCATCCATGGAGAAGAGCAGCAGAGGCCAGTAGGGAGGGAGCCATTGACTCAGCAAGGCTGAGATCCTAGGCAGGAAAGGTGGGCCTGTGCAGAGAGAGCGCCTTAGAAATGGGGTAGGAAGATAGGTCTGGCCATGTGTGAGAGCTGCCTTACTTGGGATTTGACTGTCATTAGGGATTTTCAGACAAACAATTGCTATTGAGGATTTTGAGGGGGAATCCAATTAGTCCAGAGGCCTAGAAAAATACATCTGGTCCTGTTCAGAGGGTAGACAATAGTGTGGAGCTGGAGAGTGTACGGGTTTGTGTGGAAAGTGGAGGGTTGGGAGCAGTCAGAGCAGCCTGCCTCCTGTCAGAGTGACAGCACAAAGCCTGGGCGTCCTGCTCACATCATAGTTGGCTAGCATCAAAAGGAAGCTTCCAAATGGGCAAAGGGCTCCGCATCTCTGATCCATGTGTGATCCTACCGTCGGGCGGAACCCAAGACCAGAAGAGAGGGACACAGGAGGCTTGTGGCCAGGTGATTCTTCCTGATGCCTGTCATCCATGGGTTCTACTCAGCCACTGTGTATGTCTGGGAAAGGAAATGAGGCCCCTTAAGTGCCCGTTGTGAGCAGGAGTTGACTTATTTGACTCCTAGTATTGTCTGCTGAAGTGACTGAGGGAGAAAGGGGCCCTGGGCAGTGGCCAAGGCACTGGAGGAGGGGGGACAGAACCATGTGTGTGGAAGAGTGGCGGGTAGGGCAAGGATTCTGTGCACGGTTGCACTGTTGGAGATGTCATGGTGTGAATCGAGCTGGAGCTTCACATGTGTAAGGCCTCGCATAACCACCCACTTGCTGCCACTCATCGTACGTTTTAGTTGACCTTTAGTTGTATTGCAAGCAAATTGACTGTGTTCATGACATCATGGAGTCCACTAAAGCAGCTACTGTGAGAAATAAAAGTGTCCCACTAGCTTCTAGGCCTGTCTGTTGACCAACTTACTATAAAGATCGAGCCGGGAAATACTTTAGGATTTGCAGGCTAAGTCCAACATCTTCACTCTGCCACTGTATTGACTTGGAAGTGCCGTTGGGTTGTAACAAAGCTTCATTTCAACAGCTGCTAGGCTGGGTTCGTCCCCAGGAATGTCCTGTGCCAGCCCCCGTGATAGAATGCTGGGGAACCCCAGTGGAGAAAGTGGTTGGAAGGCAAGAGGAGGCACTCGCAAGGGTTTAGTGTGGCCTCTGTGTCTGGCCCTGTGGAGCAGCCCAGGGAAGGTGAGGTAGAGATTTTGGCCCTGGATGTGATCACAGGTCTGAGTCTGAGTCTGAGTCTGTAGGGCTGAGGCCTTCTCCCACAGTACAGAGACTCTCCCCAAGACTAGCCTAGAGGACACTGATGCTGTCTGGGGAGCCATGACCGTGACCCTGTCCTTCCCTGGCTTTCTCCACAGAAGCTCCATGCTGTAGATGTTCTGGATGGTGACACCAGCTACCAGCCTCATGTTTACAGGGAGGAGGGAGAGTGTGAAGGAGCTGAGACCCTCAGCTCCCTGACCTTCTTGGAGCAGGACCTCTTCCCAGAGTTGCCAGACTGCTTGAGTTCAATGTCGGTTCCATCTGAAGCAATGTGTTCTGCATCAAGAGTCCCTCCATAAAGGCATGTGGTGGGCATGATTTGGGAGGAGAGTCACTCCTCATGGACCCCCTCTTGTCCTTCATCCTTGGGTACTTCCTAGTCCGCAGTATTGCAAACTTGGCAATCACTTGGGAAACGTCTGGGAGATGTGCCTGTGGCCTGCCAGTGCAGGGTTATCTCGTTTGCACTGGTCCACTGTGGGTGGCAGCATTCCTTGGCGGGGATCCTGGATGGTGTAAGTGGAGACGGAGCTGAGCTCCAGCGTTCATCACTGCTCCCTGCTTCCCAGCTGAGCATGTCCTGTGACTGGCCGCCCCAGATTCCTGTCACCTTGATTTCCTGCCATGATGGACAGCAAACCAGAATAACCCCGCTCCTTTAAGCTGCTTTTGTAAGAATGTTTCCTCACAGCAACAGGGGAGAAGCTAAGACATGGTCCTAGGATGAGACTCAACCATGAATCCAAACTCAGTATCTTGAAGCAAAGCGGAACGGTGGGCTGTATGCTTTATACATTTGATTTGTCACATTTTCTGGAAAGGCTTAAGTAAAAATCATGTATTCTTTTGCCTCTGCTGGTGACCCAGCTCTAATGGTGAGTCAAAGTACAACCCATGGATCACCTGGGTGTTTGGTGAGCAGTGGGTAATTCTGGGAGAAAATGAAAATGGGTTTTTAAAAGATTATTTACATTTCTATAATTGTCATTCTGCTTCATCTTAAGTGGGAAAAGCTAATAAACGGGAATGTGCTTCCTAGAGTATATGTAATAAGTACTCTCTGTGATTTTTAAAAAAGATAACAGTCCCTTCCACGCTTTGATTAACTAAGCCAGCTATGCTATTTTGAGAAAAATAATTAAGCTTAAAATCATATAAACAGAACGTGCTTTGAGAATCTAAGTCATACCATGATTTAAGTTCCTCATATTAGTATAGTAAAAGAATTTAGCAAGCTTTGAAGGATTAGATTTCTGTTTAAACAAGACCATAGCTTTTCACAGGATTTTGTTGTCCAATTGGTGTTCATAAAATTTGTATGGTAGAAGTGGGACAGTGCCTGTTAAAAAGTCTGAGTGGGTAGTGAATATTGACTCAACAAAGTTGTTCTCTGAGTTAAACATGTGCACCATGACATGTGTACCCATTCATGCACATTATGCATGACTATAACACATGCATTTTCTTTAATAGTTTTGAGTGTGAGTTATGGACTATGGTTGGTACATGGTCATCAGATCTTTCTAGACTTAAGTCAAGAGGAAAAAAAAAATGAGCACCATGAGGGAATCAGGCCCCTTGTCTGTTCTTATAATTAAAGTTTTATTGACACTCAACCCAACTTGTGGCACCAGGCTTCTCTGGGCTCTGACAGCAGAGTTTCATAGCTACAACAGACAACTCCAAGTCCAGCAAGTTCTGATGTGCAACACTGGCTTCCAGATTCTTCTGAACAACCAAAGCTTGCCACCTTCCCTTAAGCATTCTTCTTAGAGATCCCAGCTCCCAGCAAACACATTATAATGCCTCCACGCCTTGTGCTACCAACACACTAGATGCTTCCAAGAAGTTTTAAGTAAGTGAGCCCCTGATAGTGGCTCACCTAGCTTTCCCTTGGTCTCGAGACACACATTTGCAAATTCTTGCCTTGTAAGATGCTCCCCAGCACATTGTTTCCAAAAGTAATAAAATACTCATGCGATATTCATGAATGCAGATTCAGCAATTAACAAGGAGAGCAAAGCATTACATTGTGTAGATACTTAATTAGATATTCGTTAACACTTATCTTACCAACCTTTTTAGATATGTGTTGGATAAGTCCCAGCATCCCCATGGCCACCAGCCCATGGTCGTTTCCCCAGGCCACAGATCTCAGGGTTCTGACATCCAGTCCTGTTGGTGTCTCCATGGAAATTTCAGTGTGACACGATCCCTGTTTAGATGCCAGTTGGATACTGTCCTCTTCCTCTGCTAATGTCTGGGGAGACATTCCTAGGTGCCATCTGGCTGGTTCTTCCCACAGTTTCCTGTCCGACCACGAACAGAGCAGCCCTCAGCTCCATTCCCAGTGCCATAAAGCAAACTCTGAAACAATGTAATCTATCCACACCCTTGAGATGCTTCCTACTGGTGATGCTTCCTTGAAAACCATCCACCCCTAGTACATTTCTGCTTCCTTGTGAGAGAAGCTGGTTCTTGCTGGTGATGATGGAGTGTGAGATAAGACAACAGCGGTAAATATTTTCAGGGATACGTGCTTTTATTAAGAACCTCAGCTTCCAAATGACTTGCTAATCCAAAGTTAGCTACAGTCACTGGAGTTAAAATTTCATTCTGTGCTTCATTTAATTAAATTTATTTATTTATTTATTTATTTATTTATTTATTTATTTATTATCTCTGCATGCAGTAACAACTGGGTTGTTGAACTCCCAGCTCAGGAGGCATGTGTTCTGCTAGTCTTTAGAACTGCTACATGCAGAAGACCTTGCCATTGGAAAGCTTTCCTTTTCTGCCAGGCATGATGGGGGAGCTATGGCTGTAGTCCCAGCCCTGGGAGAGAGGACTGTGTGAGCTCAAGCCAGCCCAGGCTGCAGAGTGAGAGACTATTTGAAACACAAATGAGCAACTATGCAAGTGAACATTCACACATGAGAACAAAATCCTCACTAAACATCCTCCACTGTTCCTGTGAAGAGTGGCGCTGGTGGCCTCCTTTAAGGATGACCCAGCCAGATAACCAGGATCCAGGGAAGCACTCGGTGTGGGTATTTATGAGACGAGATCTCTTCTTTGTATCATGTCCACAAATGACCCCCTATGCCATAAAGAAGTGACCAGAATCCCAGAGACTTAACTCAAGAGCCCTCAAGCTTTTCGCCATCAAGGACTCTGTAGCTAAAATTCTGGGGCTGCAGGAGGCCAGATACCCCCAAATACACAGCATAAGCTGCCTCTTCTTGCTCATGGAAAGGACCCAGAATCCCACAGCGCAGGAGCCGTCCAGTCTGCCAGGGACATTTCCCAAGCTCCAGCCAGATGCAGACATGCAACTGCATTCTGGTCCAAGGAAGGCCACCTCCACGAAGAACCTCTGCAGGGCGGAGAGGTCTGTCTAGTCCCCGTCTTGGAGGGGGTAACAATGGGATGGTTGGGACCGGGGCAGCCATGCCATGTCCCAAGGGCCACAGGATGGATGGGAGAGATTCCTTGACTCCCGGGAGTCTCTCCTTCCTCGTTTCCTCCCTGGACCACTTTGAGTCTCAGAAAGAAGAATTAGATTCTCCTTGTTTAAGTGATTGCTGTTTTATAATTTCCACTGCTTGGGGCCAGATTGACTCTTAGATGACACAAAATACTGCAGAGTGGAGCGAGCCATGAGTAGCAGAACTTGAGTGTGTGGCATTGGCTTAATGGATGCGTCCAGGTGGCAGGGACTCAAATACAGCGAGAGAGATAGCTGGTGGCTATACAGAAACATGGCCTTGAATAACACCGGTCCTCGGTTGTCTTTTGAAAAGCGGCCTGTGTTCTGGACAGGAGTGCAATAGAAAGCCACAGGGGACGTTCGTGATGTAGGGCACATTAGTGGCTGCTTTTAGCACCACGCTAAGAGAGGGATGGGGACTTCGGCTAATGCCAGCCAGGAGACAGGCAGGAATGAAAGAGACACAGCTGTGTTAATGGTGCGGCCGTGGCCAGCGCTGCAATCTGTATCTACCAAGAGCTGGGCAATTTGGAGATTGAAAGGGTTGAAAACAGGGACTGCTGTGTCTTTCAAAGGACATCTGCCGTCAAAGTGGTGTCTGCAACTCAGTACACTTAGTGGAAAATAAAACCAGTGCCCCATCCCGGCTGCTGGGGACCCATGTGAGAGTTGCTGTAAGTACACTTCCTCCCAGGCTGTGCTATTGCTCAGGCTGGCTCAAGGTAAGTGTCATGCTGCAGGGTAGAGACCAGACGGGCCTGCCTATAAGCTTCTTGTCTCTCAGGGGAACTGGGGGTGGCCATCTTTGAAGACTCCCATGGAGTTGTATAAGACAGTGCAGAGTCCCTCTGACTTTTATTCCGGCCTCTTGCTGGTACCTGTGCATACCTGTGTGTATGTCCCCTCATCGCCCACATCTTCACCTTCACAGACTGGGAGGGACTTAAGGCTCAATTGGGGCCTGAGGCAAGCAGCCTCGCCACCCCTGTACCACAGACCACCCTCTCTCCCAGCCCCTTGGTGACCATTCAAGCCTGAGTTTCTAAAATCCCCTCATTTATAAAGTTATATACAGGCGATGGCTTGGGTTAAAGTGTTTGGAGACAGGTTCCCTTTGATCTGCTGAATCTTAATGCCTGTCTTCTCTGTGGAAACCTCTGGAAGCTCTGACTGAGGAGCTGTGAGCTGGGTACCCAGGATCTTGCACTGTATAGGAACTCCAGTTTGCTGGCTGAACGGGACACATAAAGGAACAATGGCCAGCTGGCGGCGGAGTCTCAGAGCAAGCAGGGAAGAGGGCACAGGAGGACAAGAATCCAAGCATGGGTGGGAAGTTCACAGGCCGGGGCAGTACAGGAAAGGGTGCGGGTGAAAGCCTGGATGCAGGACTCCAAGTGAGACTGCAAGGCCAAGAGTGGCGTGCCTGAACAGAGCTGAGAGTTGTGGCTGGCAAGAGGCAGAGGGCAGGCGCAGAGGGGTCAGGGCCCTGTTGTTCCCACCCCAGGCCCAAGCATCTTGGCTTTTGCTCTCTGTTTATTTCTTTCTTTTTGTTTTTCCTGAAACTTCATCCTCATTTGGAAAAATCACTCAGTCTGTCAGGTTACTTGCCCATTAAGACTTCGGGCGCTGTGGCCTCTCTCTATTAGCCCTGATGATGTTGGTGGCATAGATTATCTTTGTCCAACAGCTTCAATGATTGCCAACATTGAGCTCATCAGAAGCTAAGCAGGTAATATTCACACAGGACAACCCAGAAACTGTAATAGGTGGACAACCTGAAGTCCTGATCGCTATGGAGGGAGAAGTTGGCACTGTTGAGTTTGATTAGTCAGGGCGGTCACTACTGATGACCTCACAACCCAGAAAATCCTCATCTTGGAAAGTAGTGGGTCAGGATGTGTCTGTCCTCTT